CTGTTTGCTCCATTTGGTCTATGACATTTGGATGATCATCTTCATCAATTGATAGACTCCTACCTTCAGGAGCACTGTCTCCCTCCCCCACCATGGCTGTTTGCATCTCCTAAACCCAGAGTCTGAGTGTGATTATGCCCAGAGTAAAGTCTGCTAGTTCAGTTCAGCTTCTTCTCAGCATTTGGAGATAAAATGTCCATCAGTTAAGTCACATTCACACCTACAGAGCTTTTTCACAGGAACTGGAGCTTCAATACATGGAGGAGCAGTTCCTCGAAATCAGTGCTGAATTCATGCAAGGCAAGCTCAACTTCAACCTGATAGAAAGGAGCACGAATGAACTGGTCTGGGAAGCCCATGTGAGGCAAGGTGAGCTTTGGCTGAGGGAGGACCACAAGGTTGGGCCATAGCTCAGGAGGCAGGCTGGAAAGGACATCCCATATGACTGCCTCTTTCCTGGTCTCTTTCAGAGGAGCTGAAGTTTTCAGGCCCACATCCAGAACAAGGTCAGTAGGAGAGATGAGATGGCTCTACCACGAGGTTGACCAAGGCGGAGCTTTTGGAGACTTTGGAAGTCACCAAGGCCAACCTGCTGCTCAATGTGCTCTCAACAACACTGAAGAAATACTCTTTTTTTTTTTTAAGGATTAAGAGGATGTTTCTAAGATCATAGTGGGTAGTAGTGATCACCTGGTTTCTGTTCAGTGTCTTAATCAGGTTACATAGGGGGTATTTTCTGGTTTGCCTCAGGTAGAAAAATGTATTGGGCCAACCCTGAGACAGAAACATGGCATTAGCCACAATCCACACCAGAGGCGAATTTTGGGCAGTGAGACTGGTTCCTAGAGGGTACTGCAGGGCTTTGCAACTATAACATAGTGAATTGAGTAGTATGGAAAGAGAGAGGTGAGGGAATTTTGGCCTCACACAAGGCGCTACTCTTCACATCCTATGGGTTCTTAAGAAATACTGTATTTTTATGTGTTCACCCTGCAAACCAACTTCCAAAAGTCATAGCAGGCAAATAATTGTCATTCTTTTACAGCACCACACTCAGAATCCCCTTTATATGAAGGGGAACAAAGAAGCATGAAGATGGAGAACCCAGTAGGTTCTGGGGAGATTATCACAAGCAACTGGTGTCTCAGTGAGGTAAAGGGTGGGCATTCTTCTCATTTGCATTGACCACCTATGATAATGAAGCCTATATTGGTACTTCTAACAGAAAGGTTCTGAATTTGAATTTCTTGTGCACTGTAAAAAGCCCTTGTCCCTCTTTAGGTATTTTTGTACATTAATTAATCATCTTGCTAGTCGGCACTAATTGCTGGTATTGAGCCACAAGGCTGTTTCCAAACAGGTTGCTCCTAGTGCTTAAAAAAATAATAAAAAACAAAGCATTGCATTTCTGCGCAATTGTAATTATGTGATTCCAATTTCATGTGGAATGTTCTTGCCTTGCTGTGCTTACATTTAGTTGGGAATCATCTTGCTTTGCTCATATTTACAGAGGGAAGGAAGCATGAAGATGGAGAACTCAGCAGGTTCTGGGGAAAGTGTGCCGTGTGGCCGGTGTCTCAGTGAGGTAAGAGGCTGACCTGTCTTGATGTGCATTTCCCGCCCACAGGAATAAGGTACACAAAGATATTTTTAACATGAAGCCACTGAATTTAAATTTCTAGTCCCCTAAGGTTAGCAACTATCCCATCTTAGGTAATTATTTACATATTTGTTATTCAAAGCTAGAGTCTGGTAGCAGGAAATAAGGCTGCATCTAAACAGCTGTTTCCTTGTGCTAATAACTCATGGTGAGAGTCATTGCAATGCACACTTAGCACACTGTGTTTCCATTTAGTTGGGAATCATCTTGCCTCGCTCTTATCTTACGGGCGGTCCAGTTGATGTCACATTTCAAATCGTCCCATATTTTCCAGTGCTTAAACACTTTCCATCTAAAAAGATCATTGCACTACTGCAGAACTCTAATGCTGTGATTCCGGTTTAGTGTGGAATCTTCCTGTGTCACATCTGTTTTAGAAGGGTGTGGTCTCAAGGGTCTTAGGAACAGACAATAATGCCCCGTTTCCAGATGGGATGTGGATTCTGGCATCTACATGAATGATTATGGTTTCATTATAGGATCTTCCAGAAAAAATAAAACCAGAGGTGGTTTGGGACTCAGAAAGGGGCCATGAAGCTTACAGGTGTGTGATCTCTCTCTCTCTCTCTCTCTCTCTCTCTCTCTCTCTATCTCTATCTCTATCTCTATCATCTCTATCTCTCTCAGACCTTTTGAAACATTCTCCCCTCAGGGAGTGGTTTCTACTTTGAATTGTCCAACAGAGCACATCTGGTTTCTTTGGGTCTCACATATGTGGGTCTCACAGTCACCACATATGGTGGTTCTCGGTAAAACTTATGCAGAGTACATCTGTGATCTGCATATTGCAGTGAACGGTCAGTTGTGGTGGACAAATTCTCTCTGAAGGAAGCTTAACCACCATTCCTGATGTCTTCACTGAGGAATTCCTTGGTTCCATGGAGCAGAGCTGGGAAAAAAATTACATTGAAGCACTGCTGTTGCTAACTTCCAGTTGTATATATCCCGCCCCCTGGGGTAGCATCAAAAGAAGGATGCAGAGTTTGAGAAAGGTGAAAAATCTGGAGTCTGGATTTTTGGAGGAATTGTTGTTTCTCTTCCTTAAAAATATCCCACCTTTCTCCCAAGGAGTTCAAGGTGGCATGCATGGTTTTCCCCTCTCCATTTCCCCCTCACAACTCTGTGAGGTACTTTAGGCTAAGAGGCAGTGACTGGCCCAAGATAACCCAATGAGTTTCTTGAAGCAAGGGAGTCATTTCAGCTCCTCTTGTCCCCTGTCCCTTCCTTGGCATTATTGCCATTGCCCCAAAATCAATTTATCTTGTTCTTCTCTACTAGTTTTTGTGGGATGTAATCCACCAGAGCAGTCAAGTACAACATTGCCTGTTTTGCTAGAGTGGACATGCAGGGGAATGTTGGGTCCAGCCAGCTGAACTTCCTGTTGCACTTGGCTGGAGCATCCTTCCTCTTGCATGTGACTAGCAGGTGGTTGTGACCTTACCAGACCTGATAAGAGGCCAAGTCATGCACCCGTCCTCTCTCTTTCACCTTTCACCTTCGACCTGCTTCCAGCTTGGACTGCACTGCTGGCTCTCAGCCAGCACTGGGTTATTCCCCGATATGGGGTAAATGCACATTGTACATACTTGTAACTTTAAGCCTTAAGCCTGCCTTCAGGATTCACACCGTGTTCTCTTTGAATGTAAGTAAACGACTTTTTAGCACTTATGAATAAGACTGCAGTGTCTTTATTCTTTTAGGAGGGATTAAAGGGGTCTTTAATCAGCCAACCTAGCAGGTCGAAGTGCAAGTGGATAAATTTACCTTCTCTGGCGGGAAGGTAAATGGCATTTCCGTGCGCCGCTCTGGTTTTGCCAAAAGCGGTTTAGTCATGCTGGCCACATGACCCAGAAAAACTGTCTGCGGACAAATGCTGGCTCTCTCGGCCAGTAAAGCAAGATGAACACCGCAACCCCAGAGTCGTCTTTGACTGGACTTAACTGTCAGGGGTCCTTTACCTTTACCTAAAGGGGTCTTACCAGGAATAATAGAATACATCTCAATCTGGACAAGCCAGATTGAATTGCCTATAGTCTTAAGAGACTCACACGAGTCTGCAACCAGTTTCTGCTGCGTAAGAAGGGGAATGCACTTTGCTAAATAAAGAAACTTGCTAGCGCAAGTTAGGATATTAATAATCAATATACCCTCTCTTGCCACCCTCAACATTCCCACAGTTTGGTTCAACAACCCAAATGTCAGCTATTCAAAGGCAAATTTAGGGGAGCACGGCCAGTTCAGCTGCACTGGGTGTGGAGCCTGAGGGTCTCTGCAGGAGATGCCACAACTATTATTCAGAATGGAGTGCGAGAGGCATGGGTAAGGTGCTGAATTTTGGCATTGCTCAGGGAGCTGCTGAAATTTGAGATCCCAAGGTACACCGAGTGGGGTCCCCTTTTCCTTTTCATCTTTCTCTTTGTGCCATTCAGAGTGCGCTCGACTGAGGCTGGCTCCTTCCATTGCGATGATACTGGTCTCATATGTGAAGTGAAAGAAGCTGTGACCTTAACATACTACTTTGATTCATGGCCGAAGCTCCTGGAAGAATAGAACACTGAGGAGTTGCATGTCGCTGGCCCTCTGTTCAACTTTAAGGTGGATGCAGCAGAGGCTGTGGCATCCATTTGCATCCCTCACTTCTTGTGCCTTGAAGGTATGTCAGGGGAGAAGTTTCCAGCATTATAACCATAATAGGAGGAGTCCTAAATGTCCATTGATGTTTCCAGAATGCTATGGGTGGGTTCTAGAGGTCAGGAGTGCTGGCATACCAGACTTTTGTGATTTGTTTCAATTTTTCAAAATGTTCCAACTGTGCTGTTTTATTATTTTCTGTGATTTGCATTCTGTTTTAAGCTGCCATGCAAGCATATTGTCCTGTGAAATGATGTTATAAACCTCTTAAATTACAATGAGAAAATGAATACTTGCATGAAATAGGGAGGGTTGTGATGATATTTTTGTCACTTTCCCACTGCTAACATGTTTGTCTTTTCAGGTGAAGATAGTTCCCATGTCTACATTGCACATTTTGTTGAAGGGGGGATGAGGCTGGAGAAGCCAGACAGAGTGGAGCCTCACCATGCTGTGTTGGAAAACCCCAAGTTCTCTTCCCTTGGAGTCGTTTTCAAAAAGTGGTTTAAGCAAAAGATCAACACTGTTGTACTGCTCTATCACAGGCTTCAGCTGGAAACGCCAACATTTCACCTGTACCTTCTGCCCAATGACCCTTCGATAATAAAGGTAACCAGGAATCTCCATCTCTGGTATTCCCGATTGCCTGGATCATTTGCTTGATCATATTAACCCCGACTATGCACAATTGTTGGACTTGATCTCTTCTACCCAACATCAACATGCCAGTAGAGAGAAGATTAACAAGTTGCCCAATGCTGGGTTACTTAGCTTCCCACCAGCACTGTTGGTTTAAAGTGATTTTTCCAATATTGAAATATGCCCTTTTCATTTGTTACACAGCCTGTCTGGTTCTCTAAACAAACGGGTTGTCACTGACTTGTGAAATCCTAAGCACATTCTCCTGGAAGCCTTCATTGAAATCAGTAACACTTCCTTCAGAGTAAACGTATTTAGCAATGAACAAATACTGCTTCGTTCATTAAGGAATCAGCTTGGTAGTTACGAGCTTTCTCAGATAACTCCTGAGGAAAAACATTCTTCCTGATTTGCAGTGTTGGCACATGGGAGATAAAGCACACTATCATATTGCCTTCTCAATTCAAACTTTTCCTTAAAATGTCTTCTTATGCTTCATTCAAATAATGAAGTTTCATGGCTTCTGTGGTTTCCTGCATGGTCTCATCAAGAGAAGATGCAGGTGGACGCAGGATTCATGGTACCTCTCGGCCACTTCATAGTTCAAGCTGCCCAGTCCAAGAGCCTTGGCTTCCTTCAGTTCCTCAGGAGGCCAGGAAATCTCCGCTCCACATTTTAGTTTCTATTGCCATAGTGGTTTAATTTTCTTTATATTGCATATGGAGAATCTATGTCTCTGCAGATGTGCTTGAACTATGAAACCCATCATCCTTGGCCCATGCTTGTTGGGGAGGATATGAGTCCAACAACATCTGGAGGACACCAGGTTCCCCATTCCTGCATTACCTGGTGCTACAATGCCAAGAATGTTGTAGGCATCTAGTCTTCCAAAAATTTTGTTCCCTCTCTGCGTATGTCAAAAGTGACTTTCTTTACCCTTCCCAGGCGGTCGATAAGCGTGAAGTAAATTCAAAGAGAATAGAGAAACCCCCTGTGACCATGAAACCTCTGATGATTGGCTCTCAGGTCTCTCTTAGTACTCCAGAGGATGTCACAGTGAATCCTGAGGTGAGACATGAAGATGATGGTGGTTTTTTGATGGGGCAGAACCAAGACTGTGAAGTCTGAGAATGGGAGAAATTCAACGAGGATCCTTCTTCACCCTTTAATCTGACTCCCTTGGAATGGTGGGTTGGGCCAAACCAGATTCACACCTACAGAGGTTTCATTCTTTCCCACAGGAACTGCATTTTCAATACCTGGATGCAGAGAAACTGCAGCAGTACGTAGAACTGTCTGCTGAACAAATGCAAGAGAAGTTCAACTTCTACCTGATGAAGAAGGGCACGACTGAAGTTGTTTGGAAGGCCCATTTAAAAAAAAGTGAGTTTTGAACAAGGGATGATCCTAAGGTTGAGTCATATCTTGGGAGCCAGGATGGAAAAGGACCACGGGTCACATTCCCTCTTTGACTGACTTTTTCTTCTTGATTTGCAGATGAGTTAACTTCAGGGCAGATGGGTTCTCCTATTATACACCCAGCACAAGGTCAGCAGGTTTTAATTGTTTCTTTCATTGTATTTGTATCTTATCTTCCTCCCAATAGGAAGTGCTGGTGATACAGTAGAACATACACTGCACAAAAATGAAAAATAACTTTTGTACAGTGGTACCTTGGTTCTCAAATGCCTAGGTTCTCAAATGCCAAAAACCCGGAAGTAAGTGTTCTGGTTTTCGAACAATTTTCGGAAACCGAACATCTGATGCGGCTATCGGCTATTGTTTCTGGGGTGCCTGCACCAATCAGAAGCTGCGCCTAGGTTTTCAAACATTTTGGAAGTTAAACGGACTTTCGGAATGGATTAAGTTTGGCACTTTTGTTTCTGCTATTTATTTTGCATTTTGGTTTTTGAGGCTTTTCCGGTTAATTTGTTTTTGTGACTGTGTGGAACCCAATTCAGCTACTGATTGATTGATTGACTGACTGATTGATTGATTGATTGATTGATTGTGTGACTGCAGAAATGGATAAAAGCCCCCCATCCAAACAATGGCTATCATCAGTGCAGGTAAGAATTTTTTTTTTTTTATCATCTACAATACTGTCTTACTATTTTTATAGTACAGTACATTGATTATTAGGGACGTGGGTGGCACTGTGGGTTAAACCACAGAGCCTAGGACTTGCCAATCAGAAGGTCAACGGTTCGAATCCCCGTGATGGGGTGAGCTCCCATTGCCCGATCCCTGCTCCTGCCAACCTAGCAGTTCGAAAGCACATCAAAGTGCAAGTAGATAATTAGGTACCGCTCCGGCGGGATGGTAAACGGCGTTTCCATGCGCTGCTCTGGTGCGCCAGAAGTGGCTTAGTCATGCTGGCCACATGACCCGGAAGCTGTGCGCCAGCTCCCTTGGCCAATAAAGCGAGATGAGCGCCGCAACCCCAGAGTCGGCCACGACTGGACCTAATGGTCAGGGGTCCCTTTACCTTACCTTACCTTACCTTATCTTACCTTACATTGATTACTGCTTTCATTTTATGGACCAATGATCTCGTTAGATAGTAAAATTCATGTTAAATTGCTGTTTTAGGGGTTGTTTTTAAAAGTCTGGAATGGATTAATCCATTTTGCATTACTTTCTATGGGAAAGTGCACCTTTTGTTTTGGAATGCTTTGGTTTTGGAACCGACTTCCGTAACGGATTGAGTTTGAGAACCAAGGTACCACTGTAACTTTATTCAACAGCCTTCTTAGACAAGGTTGTCTGGGCTTATTGTTTTGTTTGGTGCCAGATGAAGATCTTTCAACTCACCTAGGTTTTTAAGAACATTTTTTACCCAGATGCAACTAACCTGACATGGCATCAGAAGGGCTCCCACTAATGCAATGGGACTTTCTCCTCAATATCCACCTTGTCACTCTCCCTCAAGTCCTCTCTGGAGGGTCACAATAATCCGCAGAACACAGTTCAGAGGGAAACTAAGAGAATTGTTCCATCCGGCAAGCAGAACAGCTTTTGCTGACATTGATCTCCTCACTCTAAGTTTTACAGTGTGAACTTCTCAATTTTAAAGTGAGTGGCAGTTCTTAAAATATGAACTGTTACTTGCTCTTATTGTCATTTGTTATGAAGTGATACTGTAAGCATAATTCATAAATCTGTGAGACAACGTTCCATAACTTTGTCTTCTTCCAAGGACAGAGGCCTTGTGGATAAGGTTTTCATGGCATCATCATCATAATCATCATCATCCATCATCATCATCATCAATTTTATTTATATCCAGCCCTCCCCGTCCAGGACTGGGCTCAGGGTGGCTAACATCAAAGTATATAATACATTAAAACATAAAGTCAAACAATCGATTAAAATACAGCTTAAAAACAAGTTAAGATCAGAATGATGGCAACCCACGAATTATAACTATAGGGGTTGGGAACATTAAGTGCTCACCAGGCCCAGTTATTTGTACTGGTCTTATATGACCCGGCTGGAGGAGTGAGAGAGGTCACTTACATGCAGGGTCTTGTAAAAAGAGGGGGGTCAGACTGGGCCCAGACCAAAGGCCTGGAGGAACAACTCTATCTTGCAGGCCCTGCAGAAAGATGTCAAGTGCCGCAAGGCCCTGGTCTCTTGCGACATAGCGTTCCACCAGGCTGGGGCCAGGGCTGAGAAGGCCAGTCTAACCTCCTTGAGGCCTGGGACTTCCAAGGTGTTATTGTTTGTGGACCGTAAGGTCCTCCGTGAGGCATACCAGGAGAGGAGGTCCCATAAGTATGAGGGTCCTAGGCCATATGGGGATAGTGGAATTTGGATAGTGAGGAAAATTGCCTCTGTGGAAGAAAGCTGGGTTCAGTAATGATAACAACAATAATAGAAGCATAGAATTTGTAGAGTTTGGAGGGATTCCATGTGTCATTCAGTCCCACCCTCTATCAATTCCTGGGCTTTAAAGTAAGAAAAGATAAAGCTAAATATAATACTATGTGAAATAGTAATGAATTAATTGCCTGACAATTTGCTGTCGTTTATGATACCCCAAATTATGATGCCACCTCACTCTCCCTAATCGTAGGGCTGGCCCCAGCCTTGGCTCCCTTCCAACAGCTCTCACTTATTTCAGTTTTATACTTCTTCAACAGTTATGGCTTTGCCCAATGAATTCTGGGAATTTTAGGCAGGTGAGCTACTAGGAATGCTCTGTTCACAATCCCTCCCCTCATGGAACTACAATTCCCAGGGCATGGGGAAAGAAGGAATGAGTTGGGGAACCAGTCCTAAGCCTGCAGTGTGAACCTGTAGAAAGATTTCCATTCTTTCTCTCTTTCCCGGTAGGGCTGCAGTTTCCAAACTCTTCCAAAGTGCACTTCATTGAGCGGCACAGGGAGGTGCTAATCCAACGGACCATCCCAGTGGAACCGGTGCTGGATAGTTTGCATGCCGTCGTCCTCAGTGAGGAGCAATACCAAAAAATCATTGCCCAGGAAACTAACCCAGACAAGATGCGAGAGCTCTACAAGCTTGTGCCAAGCTGGGACCTCCAGTGCAAGAATAAGCTGTATGAGGCACTGAAGGCCAAAAATCCACATCTCGTGAAAGACCTGGAAGGGCAATGAGGCCCCAAGGGAAGGCAGAAGACAAGACCCTTTTCAAGGCACCAGAAATCCACCTCCTTATTGCTAGGGGACTCCTGAAGACAAAGCCGTACCATGTATTTTCCCAAGCACTTACATGCATACCCTCCAATATTCCCATAAGAACTGGAGTGTGATTGGAGGAGGCTGTTCTCTACTCTGTCAAGTATGTCACCCCTTTGCTCCCTTAGGCAGTTGCCCAGATACCATTCTCATCCCCACCTCTCTATGACGTTCTGCTGTAGACTGAGAGGCACTCTCACATGGAGCTGTAACACCCCCGCTCCCTATGATCAGCTTTATTTCTCTCACCCACTCTCCCCCCACTCTCATTAGGGCCTTCAGCTTTGTTGGTGCTGATGCCATTGGGAGTGGACACTGGATGGTTGGGCTTGTGCGACACTCCACTGTCACCTCATTCTCCTTAGAACTACTGTGTGAGGAAGAGAGAGTGAGACTGAATGCCTCCACAGCTGAGCTACGGTTGGGTCTCGTGAGCTTCCATCGCTCCAAGGATGAGGAGGAGGAGGAGGACGATGACAACAACAACAACAACTTCACACCACAACCGCAGCCCTCACTGGCCACCATCCATCAGCACAAAGTTGAGTTGCGGAGTCTCTTGCAGTTGCTGCCCAACCCTTCTCAAGGTTTCATTATCCTCCTCCTTGTACATTTTACTTCAGACAATGGAGCGGTGACCCCAGAGGCGGCAGGGCACTAGGACTGCCACAGTGGCTCGGGTGCCTGCAGGCTCCGTGCTGCCCAAAACAGCACCGTGGGGCTTGCATCTGCCCACTGGAGGTGGTGGGTGGACCCCATGGAGGTTCCACGCAGTGTGCCCCTGCCCTAGGTCACCCCGCCCCATGAACAGCTTGCCCTGCCCCCATGGGGTGACTCACCCTGCCCCCAGGCACAGGGTGTGTGCACCAGAACAGGCACCCATACGCCGCTGATGAATTGCTTTCCTGGTTCAAAGGGTGTAGGTGTTGCTGTGTTGAAAATACTAAACTATCACTTGCAAATAAATTAGTTTTGTGACTTATTTTTGCAGCTGGACTTTCCTGTTTCTGTAATGAATTTCTTATTAAATTAGCTGACAGTCAAATAGAAAATGCATCATACCACTGTCTAGTGTCAATGAAGAATAATTAAATCCATTTATTTTAATGAGTACCCTTTCCTCATCAGGAACAAATCACACACATGCTAAAAGATCTGTGGAGTCCACCTATTAGCTACTGAGCCTACGTTAAGGTCTTGCTACTTACATGCAAAGCTCTAAACAACTGCAGACCAGGTTACCTAAAAGCTGTCTTTTCCTTCACTACATGGTCAGGGCATTAAGATTAGCAAACGGTTTGTTTGGCCTGTCCCTAACCCTTAGAACACCCCTTTGGAACACCCTAACCCAGGGGTAGGCAACCTAAGGCCCAATCACCTTCTCAATCCAGCCCATGGTCCTTTTATTTAAAATGCATCTCTGGGTTATTTGTGGAGCATAGAAATTCATTCATTTTTATTTTTATTTTCAAAATATAGTCCGGCCCCCCACATGGTCTGAAGGACGGTGGACCGGCCCATGGCTGGAAAAGGTTGCTGACCCCTGGGTTAGAGCATTGGAAAAACTCAGCTTTGGCTGAGTCATGATGGCCAATTTACACGGACAATCCTGATCCAGACCAGCCAAGACAGGAACCAGCCAGCTGAGACAGAGATCCTGCTACATAACTGTTATAAGTTTGAGGGGGGGGCGGTAGGTTGTATGCCTCAACCTCCTTCTAATTCCTAGATCCAGAAGAGATACAATTCCTGGAATAGCCAAGCATGTGTAAATTTCAATACCCATAAAATCAGCTGCAGCGCAAGATGGGGCAGTGGCACCCTCCAGGAGCCAGTGGCGTAGGAAGGGGGTTGGAGGGGGTGGGCTGACCCGGGTGCCACTCTGGGAGGGGTAACAAGATGGCCCCTGCCTCCCCCCAGCTATAGAGCAACCGAGGGAGCCCGCAGTCCGTACGGGCTACCCCTCTGGTGCGCCGTCCATACAGGTATCTATACGGGCTGCCGCTCTTGCGCGCAGCAGCCGTATGGGCTGCCTCTTGCACAGCGATCGGCCAGGCTGCCATGCATGTGCAGTCCATACAGGATGCCACTCAAGTGGCAGCCTGTACAGACTGCGTACGTGCAGCATTCTGTATAGAGTGCGCACGCATGGGATGCCACACATGCGCAGTCCGTATGGGCTGCACCGCTCAGGGTGCCGGAGAGGGTTCCTCCCCCACTGCCAGGAGCCACTAGACTCCTTTTACAGACTGAGATGGGGTGAAGCAGGTCACCAGGAGTGTGCACATCTGAGGCCTCTAACAGAGGGGAACCCGATTTGGCTGACATTGGTGGTGGTGGGCCTTTCCTTAAGGGTCACAGGGAACACAGGAGCTGCCTCATAGAGTGTCACACCATTGGTCCATCTTGCTTCAGAATTTCAGAAAGGGAACATTCACAGCTCTGCCTAGAGATGCTGGGGTTGAACCTGGAAACTTCTGTGTGCAAAACAGATGCTCCCCCCACATTCCTGCTTGCCCCAATTAGGCTGTACTACAGACTAGAGTTGAGTGGAGTCTTGGGAATTCCCCCGATGCCATTCTCGCCCTGGATCCTGAGGCCCCACCCTCCAGTCGCCTGTGCCAGCCAATCCGCATGCAGAAGAAACTGGAAACCCACCACAGGACAACAAGACTAGTTTGGCTAGCCACACCTCCCTCCCTCCTCCTGTTGCAATGCCAGGAGCTGTGGAGGCAAAAGAATCTAAGCTTTTCTTTCCCCCTCTCTCTTGCCCGTGGGTGAGACTCCTTACTGGACTGCAACGGGTGGGGAAGAGGCAAGATGGCGGAGGAGCCCCTGGAGGAAGAACTGAAGAAGCTGGAGAGAAGTTTTCCCGGAGAGAAGGGCGACAAGGTCTGTGAAGGGCAGAAACCGATTGCCCCGCACCTCTTGGGACCTCGGACAGTCGCCTTCCTCCCTCCCCACTGAAGGGTTTGGGGCAGGATGATCTGAAGGTGTTCGCTGGCCAACACCACAAGGTGAAGAGCCATTCATGGAGAATGCAGGAAACCACCTGGGACCATCAAACCTCTGACTATTGGATCTCACTTCTTTCTGCAAAACTTAGATCATGTCACGGTCTACCCCAAGGTGAGATACAGAAATGATGGAAAGTGTTGCCAGAAGAGAACTGAGGCTGTGAGCTATGAGAGCTGGAGGAACTAAACCAGAAACTTTTCAGCTTTCTGTTTACCCTATTGATTGATGGACTGGGTGAAAAGGCCACGGGCTGAGCCATAATTATTTTTTTTTCTTTTCCAGTTTTCATTTCCCCCAACGCTACTGGAGCTTCAGTACCTGCCCTGCAGACATGGAGCAGCAGTACCTTGAACTCTATGCTGAACACATGCAAGACAAATTCAGCTTCAGCCTGATAGAGAAGAACAAGGATGAGCTAGTATGGGAGGCCTATGTGAGACAAGGTGAGGTTTGACCAAGGGAGCGCCACAAGGGTGGACTATAGAAAGATGGAAAAGGACATCCAAGCCACATGCCTTGACTGCCTCTTTCCCGATCTCTTTCAGAAGAGCTGAAGTCTTCTGTTTTGCACCCAGCACAAGGTCAGTAAGAATGATTTGTTTATTTCCCTTGACTTATAGTTATTCACCACCACTACCGCCCATGCTTGAAATGTGCAGAAGGGCACATTATTGGAAGGGTTCTCCCCAGTCCCCCTCACCCCATACGACATCACTTAAGAACTTCTAGATTTTACAGCTCTACACCTGGCAAACTTCCTCTTTCTTATTATGAAATCAATCATGCTTGTCAAGAAATGGGAATGCTGGCAACTCAGCAAATTCTTCATATCAAAAGCAACTCAGACTCTGAGTTTGTATATCCTGACTTCCTTTCCCGTTTGTTGTGTTTGTTGTAACACTTGGGATCATGCATCTAAACTGGAGGATATTCTAGAGAGCTTTGGACAAAATTTGGAACTTCTGATTCACCCTCTGTTTTGCTTCTGTCTGCATGCTTCATACATATGTGCGCTCTCTTCCTTTCCAGGTCCTAGTGGCTGCATTCAGACCTCTGCACTGTCCTTCAGTACTGCTTCAACAATCGGTGAGTCTCTCCTCATATTTAATACAGTCAAACCAACAATTCATGTTTTGCCAGATAGGTGCATGAAGGGGCTGAGGCTCAAAGAGTTTTCCTATAAACTTGCCGGAGAGAACTCCATGAGATCACTTCCTCTTTGTGTCCTGACAGGAAGAGGGCATAGTTATATATGCTCCTCCCTGCCTGGGCACTATCTCCTTTTCTACTCTTTTCCACCATGGTACAACATGAGAACATCTCTAAGTCTGAGCTCAAACTCAGACTCCATTTTTAAGCTAGACTTAGTCTGTCTTAGTAACTCAATTACCTGCTTGCATCAAGCTACTGTACCTGTTATTCTTCAAGATGTATTCTGAGTAGATGCTATTTTTATGTCTTAGAAGACTGCTTTTCTGTAATTATTATTTTAAGGGAGAGAAAAGGGGATAAAAATCCTGGATTACTAAAAGTAAAAAGCTAAAGCTAGCCTTTCTAAGGAAGGAAGGATGATATCTAATAAATATAACCTTCCCTAGCACCTAATCAAATCCAACAATATTCTCAGTTGTTTTCAGTCTCTGCAATTGTCTGAGAGGCTGAAGTGCTTCAAGGAAGATAAGTTCCCTATTTAGTGAAATCTAGGGAGAGATGAGCCATCTACAACTGTGTGTGCGTGTTTAAGTCAATTCTTTTTATTTTCATCTGACAGAGGTCCACCCTCCATTCTCATCTGAGATGCATTTAATTGGCCATCACCAGGAACAGCCGATCCAGAGGATCACCAATGTCGAAGAGGTTCTGCATGTGCTGCTTGGCACTCTCCTGGATGAGGAGCGGTACCAAAAAATCTCCTCAAGAGACACCAGCCCAGAAAAAAAAATGAGGGAGCTCTACAGGCTGGTGCCAAGCTGGAGCAACACTTGCAAAGACTTGTTTTACAAAGCACTGAAATCCAAACACAAGTTCCTTATTGCTAACCTTGAGGGGAAATAAGACCAAGAGAGACAATAGGAACTCCAACTGTATTTTCTGTGGTCTTTGACACTGGTTGTGGCTCTTTTACTGTTTCTGAATTCCATTGTTGTAAGAGCACAACAAAATGGCAGGAAATTGCCTAAGTCTCACAGTTCCTTCCCATGTAATTTTTTTTAACCTGTCACCAAGCAGTTACTGCTAAACAGACCTGCTGTACAATTGTTGTCATTGTTGTTTTATTATTGTTGCAATAACAACACAAGGCCTCAAACTTTGACAGAAGGACATCAACAGAAGTTGTTTTTCTGAGCATGAAACATAGACAGACACTTAACACAGCATCTCTCCACAGTCTCTTATTTTATTTAACAATGCATAGCACTTACACAATAAAACCCCTCAGTTATAAGCTTGTATCGTGACTCTTTCCATCATCACATTCCCTGTCAAGGAGAGCTTTGACAACATCCTGAAAGGGCTGCTGCAGGAGGCAGATGTCTTGGCTACCCAAAGGATGTCAGGCTGGGGAGGCAGGCGGAATTCTGGTGTGCTTCAATACAGTTCTGGAATTAAGGGCGGTGTCCTGGGCCCCCTTTTTGTGCCAGCCCTTTTGTCTTCCATTTTTAGAAGGCTACAGGTTGGGGCATGACGTGCCTTACCCTGGTGGGCCTTTTACACATCCTAAAGGGCAGCACAGTATATCACACACCCAATTTGCCCACCAGAGAGCACAGCAGAATTGCTGCAAATCCGAATTTTTAAGCCAGGTCTCTTCCCACTCCCCGCCTGCATGAAATGGTTGCTCCTTGGCCCTCTGCATCCCTTCGCTTCTTCCCACATTCCCACATCCTTATCCCAGCCTTAGATCCCAGGGACAAAAAGCCCCTTCCCTTTACCCCAGTATAGGAGAAACTCAGAGCTAACCAAAACATCCCAGGAAAATCTTGAGCGGGTTCTGGAGTCCTTCCTTCCTGGGGGCCCTTGCACACTCACTTAAACTCAGGGCTGAGCAGGAGCACTGGAAAGGAGAGAGCAACAAGAATATTTATGATTATGATTAGTTATTACATTTCCTAGTCTCTATACAAAAAAGTCTCAAAGCAACTTAGCAATATAAAATACAGCTGGATAAAATCTGTTAAAATTAAACCACAAGACATCCAAAAAATACAGAGAAATTGTTCCAATTTATAGTGCTTTTTGGGTTCTGTTCCAATGTTTCTTTAGCCATTCCACTGTCAAACAGCTCTTACTGTCCAAAAGGTCTTCCTTGAAGCCATTGGTTTGAGTCCTTCCCTCTAGAACAGAACACAGGCTTGTTCCCTCTTCCATGTGACAGCCCTCTAGATATTTGAAGACAGCTATCTCCTCTCAGTCTCCCCTTTTCTAGGGTAAACATACCCAGCTCCTTCAACCCTTCCTCTTAAGGCTTGGTTTCCAGACCCTTGATCATCTTGCTTGCTTCCCACTATCCATATTTCCACAGATATATTCTGCTTTTTTTGTTTGCTTGCTTGCTTTACCTGCAGTGAGTCTTATGACAACCTTTGATATTCAAAACTGGGGAAAAGCCTCCACCTCAGATTTCCTTTTAATATCATAAATCAGTGCTTTTTTTCTGGGGAGGCCGCAGGGGCACGCATACCCCTAAACATTTTGTGAATCTTTGTACTTTTGTCCATTTACTGTATTTAATTTTCCCCAATTTGAACAATAAAATGATGATTTTCTTGAGTTAAAATGAGAGTACCCCTAAACATTTTTTTAGAAAAAAGCACTGCCATAAATTCTCTATCGGCGTTGCCACAAATCCGCTGCCAGCGAAAAAAGCCAGAGGCATAGCTGTCAAGCATAGCTGGAAGTGAGAGCTGGACCATAAAGAAGGCTGATTGCCGAAGAATTGATGCTTTTGAATTATGGTGCTGGAGGAGACTCTTGAGAGTCCCATGGACTGCAAGGAGATCAAACGCATCCATTCTTAAGGAAATCAGCCCTGAGTGCTCACTGGAAGGACAGATCGTGAAGCTGAGGCTCCAATACTTTGGCCACCTCAGGAGAAGAGAAGACTCCTGGAAAAGACCCTGATGTTGGGAAAGATGGAGGGCACAAGAAGGGGACGACAGAGGACGAGATGGTTGGACAGTGTTCTCGAAGCTACAAACATGAGTCTGACCAAGCTGTGGGAGGCAGTGGAAGACAGGAGTGCCTGGCGTGCTCTGGTCCATGGGGTCACGAAGAGTCGGACACGACTAAATGACTAAACAATAGCTGTCAACTTTTCTCTTTTCTTGCGAGGAATCCTATTCTGATTAACGGAATTTCCCTTTAAAAAAGGGAAACGTTGACAGCTACGGATAGGAAGGCGATCTCAGAGGAGCCCGCCCCCGGGGTTTTTCTGACACTCCTCCTTCTGACTAGGAGGAAGCAAGAGCGGGACAAGACTGATAGGTAGCAGCAGAGCGGGCTGAGCTCCTGCTTGAGAAAATCAGATGCAGGAAGACGCCCCTTCGAACGTCCTCTCGGCAATCGCGGACTCCGTCCCCGCCGTCGAGTCCGCTGGTGTCGGAAGCGGGGTTCCTTCTCTACGGACGCGACACGCCACGCGACCGAGAATGTGGGCGGGCGGCCCACAGACAGAGGACAGAAATCGGCGCAGAGCTTCTCTGCCCGAGGGAAGAGGAAGTAGCAGCCCGGTAAGGAGAGAGGAGTCGGTCAGGGCCGTTGGAAGATCTCTGAGCGCAGGCGGTGGAATGCTGTGGACGCGGCGGCACCAGATGCTCCCCGTCTATAGCCCTTCGCGCCGTTCCGTGAGCGCCCCAGAGACTTTGGGGGGGGGAGAGGCGCGTTGCAGAGAAAAAAACACATCTTCTCGGAGGATGCCCTGGACCTTGAAGGATACCACTCTGGCACTTATGACTCTGAAAGACCAAGAGTCCAGCTGAGGCAAATACACACCCCCTTGTTCGGTGCTCTGGGCTTTGAAGGATACAACTCTTACGTCACCAATGATGCCTACAAACCTGCTGACATCTATGGTGACGTTAACTCTGGGAGAGAAAACCGCTTCATTTCAGGCATCCAGGTAGGGAACTGCAGTACCCTCTGCTTGAAGAAGTCTCTGGCCCCTGAGGTTCATCCTGGGAGCTCTTCTGAAGAGGATTCTGGGCTCCCAATGAAATCATTTCTGCTGTCAGGTCACCATTTGACCTATAATAGAGCCATCTATGGTCTCCTGGCGTGCACCCTGGAGAGTTTAGATGAGTCCGAGCTAAAAAAGTTCAAGGGCGAACTCTGCCATTTCTACATTCCGATGGGCGATCTCTAGGTCACCCAGAACTGGCTGCAGGAACGTGGTGCTTGGACTCTCTGCCATCTGCTGCTCAGACACTATGATGTGGATGGTGCCGTGGAGGTGGCAGCCAAAGTGCTGAAGGCCATCGACTGCCAGCCGCAGGCGGACAAGCTTCTCCATGGAAGGGCAAGTAAGGACCACGGAAAGGGGAACATTTGTTTGAGCCTATTATCTCCTCATGAAGAAATGTGGGCTGGAGGAAGAGAGGTTTCTTTAGCTGGGTCGTGTTTGTCATAAACTTATTATTTACATTCTCAGTGTGTCTTAACCAATTGGAGGGAGGACTCAGAAATCGCAGGTCTCTCTTCCTATATTTCTATTATTTTATTGCATAAAAATTATACCTCAGTTGGTTGTAAAAAAACCAACAACCCTCAAGCAGTTTTAAATGCCCCTCTTTGCCCTTCCTCCACCTCACATTATTTCTTCGCATCGTTTCAACATGGACATTAAATGGCAAGAATAACATTATTTATCATCTTTGCATTGTAGCTTTTTCATGCTTTATTCACTTCCCCTTCTTTGCAATTATTTTGAAAAATGATACTACAAATACACATGGGTGCACACAACCAGTGATCTCAAACAGACACAGTTTTCTCCTGTGACCAAGAGCAGATGTCTTTTACTAGTTAGAAGTAGTTTCATCAGGGTTTCTACTTGTAATCAGGTCTGACTTTCAGTATAGAATAAATAGGAATTTATAGTATGAGATAAATAATAAAAATTTACAGCAAAATTGCTGTGGGTTCCATCCCTCTTCAGATCATCTCTTGTTCCCATTTCCCCACTTTGATTTATCCATGTCAGGATGCCTGTGTTATCAAAGAGTTGTGTGTGTGTGTGTGTGTGTGTGTGAGAGAGAGAGAGAGAGAGAGAGAGAGATTGGGTTAACAACCGAATTAGTACCATCTCTACTTTTTGCATTCCATTTCCTGACGACCCAAAGGTTTACAGTCCCAATCTGTGGGTGCAAGTACATCCCACTGAACTCAGTAGGCCTTTCCCCTATTCCTCATACAAGCAGAACAAGGTGAAATTCACTTCACATTTGTCTAATCTTCAAGGTTTGCTTCTTCATTTTCACAGCAGCCATGTGGGAAAATAAATCACTGACCTTGTTTTTACAGGCATTCCTGAGTTCTCAGTGCAAGTATCAGAATCCCCTCTATTTGCAGAGAAAGGGCAGTGCCGAAAGACAAGCCCTGCAGATTCCAGGAAAAGTGTATTTTGCTACCAGTGTCCTAGAGAGGTAAAGGGCTGGACTCATTCTGGTTTGTATTAGCCCCTATTAACACCTAACGTGAATTTGAATTTCAAGCTTAGGTAAGTTTGTGGTTTTGCTATTCAACACGAATTACAGTGGTACCTCTGGTACCTCGGGTTAAGTATTTAATTCATTCAGGAGGTCCGTTCTTAACCTGAAACTGTTCTTAACCTGAAGCACCACTTTAGCTAATGGGGCCTCCTGCTGCCGCCGGAGCACGATTTCTGTTCTCATCCTGAAGCAAAGTGCTTAACCTGAGGTACTATTTCTGGGTTAGCGGAGTCTATAACCTGAAGCGTATGTAACCCGAGGTACCACTGTACTTGGAATGGACAGGTGTCTCCAACACAAATAATTGTTGTTGTTTTTTGTTGTGAGCTGCAAATGGCCAACTGCACGCACTCCTATTGTGATTGCTGTATATAGCGTGGAAATGTTCTGTGTGGGATCTATACTATGATGTTATCAATTTGCAATAATCCCATGTTTCAATAGAATTCCTCAGATTTCAACCTGTCCCCAGTGTCTGAAGGAGCAGGAGGCAATTCTTTGACTAAAGCAGAGGGTGTGCATCTTGACTCCTGTGTACCTGCATGCAAATGCATTGATATGACTACAAAATGTTGGTTCACTACTTCCTTGCACACCCACCCATCCTTATCTTTCCTTACCTAGAGAGTGCAGGTAATTTAATATTTTTGGGTTACATCTGCCTTTGGTAAGTACACTGAGATCTTTGGAAAGAATGGCAAATATTCTGTAAACATTTTTGGGTAAAAGTCTAGATTAAAAAGAAAAGAAAAGACAATGCCTGTAATCACCATACTATAGCTCATTGCCAAAACAAACACAAAAGGCAGATGCTGTGACATAGCATTTAGTGTTTCTATAGGGGCTCAAGCAGTGCTCCTTGGTGTAGGAACTAGGGCACTGCAAGAAGATAAGAATGCCTATATTTTCAGATAGGATGGGCAGTATGGCATAAATATTAATCATTACTGCTTTGTCACAGGATCTTCCAGAGAGAATCATACCAGATGTGGTTTGGGATTCACAAAGGAACCATGAAATCTACAGGTGAGATCTTTTTACAATCTCTGCATTCAAATAATGTTTTCAACATTGAATTGTCTGCTGACAATTCTGGGAAAGGTACTACAGAACACATTCAACTAATGTGGGTCTCAAGGAGGCATACCCAAAATCACCCCAGAAATATACAATGTATATGTGTGTGTGGCGACATCTCAGAGAGATCAAACACAGAAGTTTCCCACCCTTCTCGTACTGCAGCACAAAGGCAACGTGATTCGCAGGGGGGTGGGGTTGCTGATACAGCTCCTTGCAAGGCCACAAAAGACCCTAGGTACATCTCTGGGGTCTCATGGTCTTCATATAACCAGCTTACATCTGTGACAGCATGTTGTGATTGTGTGGTGGGTGAATTCTGTTACAGAAAAGCTTATCTGCCATGGTAATGGAAGGGAGATTGGAGCCCTCCCCATGCTCACTGGATTTGGCTGGTTGAGAGAATTACTAAGAGTCACTCACACAACCTTTTGTTAGTTCCAGCATTTAAAAGCACTTTTTTCCAGTACCGAAAGAAGCCTTACTTACTTCCTGGGCAGTCTTGTAGCCAAAATACTTCTCTATGACAAAATGCTATGTGTGTGTGGCAAGATGTTTGCTTGGGAGATTCTCTTTACTAAAAGCTTCATCCCTATACTTGGCCACTGTGTAGCAAAGAGCTTTCAAAGGGAGCCCATATTTTTCTTATCCTTACCCTTCTAATCAACTCTCCTCATCCCCATACAGCTTCCAATATGTTATTTGCATAGGTCTGCCACCCACACAGCTATGGAAATGTTCAGGGATGCAGGAGAGGATATATTGTTTGATTATAGCCTTTCCAACTTGTGTAAACAAGTTCACAATTTAGCAGGGTAACATTCCCCTTTTTAAACTCACAGCAGATGTGTGTTTGCTCAGGCTCGCTAAAGCCTCTATAATAACTGTTCTGGTATTTTCCCCTTATTCCCTCATAAAAGATAAGACACGACACAGTCTTATTTAAAAGTATAAAAAGTTTACTCACATTCTGTTCACAATCGGATCCCAGAAGGCAGACTTAGCTTAGAAAAGTAACATGCACCTGGAAACTATCCCATAAACAGACAGTCCCTTTGTCCTCTCTTGGCTGGAGGCCAAGAGAGCATCTTTGGCTAAGCAGATGTTGCTTCTTCGACAAAAGTAGACACACAGAGAGAGATGGCTGTCCTGCCCTGTGCTTTTGTCGTTACCTGCACAGGTGAGGCCACGCCCACCTCTAGTCACATACATAGGAAGTCTGTCCCAGCCCAGAAGGAAACAGGAAGTTAACCTGCTGGCTGGACAGTCATTCCTCTCCATGTGTAAACATGTTCACTCTAGGAATGTTGTACTTAACTGCTCTTGTGTTTCACATCCCACAACAGCTGCATCAGATGCAGATGAGCCAAGAGCAAAGAAGCAGAACATGCAGGCGGTATTGAACTTTTACTACATTGTCATTAGTATGAGAAGAACATGCAGGCCGTACATATTAATAGTTGTGAGATGAGCTACAGATACATCTAATACAAGCATGTATCAGGATCTACCGGTAGATCACTGGACGTCTATGGTAGATCACCAGCTCCCCCCAAAAACCCTTAACAACTTTGGCTCCTCTAAAAAAAAGCTCAACATTTTCCTCCTCCTGCACCCCCCAAAAATGGGGCTTTCCTCCTCCCTGAAAAAAGCTCAGCTACTTTGGCCTGAACCCCCAAAAAGTGGGTAGATCACTGCCAGTTTTTAACTCTGTGAGTAGATCACAGTCTCTTGGGAGCTGGCCACCCCTGATCTAATAGAACAGCAGGGGAAACTGCACTGATCACTGTTCCTTTCATCTTTCTCTTTGATGCATTCAGCTTGTGCTCCCTTGAGGCTGGCTCCTTTCAGTGCTACTACACTGATCTCATATTTGAGGTGGAAGCGGGTGTCACCATAACATACCACTTTGATTCATGGCACAAGCACCTGAATGGAAGGGATGCACAGAGGTTGTCTGTCGCTGGTCCTTTGCTCAACATCCAAGCGGATCCACTCGAGGCTGTGGCAGCCGTTCACTTCCCTCACTTCCTGTGCCTTGCAGGTACGGTAGGGGGGTGGGGAACCTTCCAATGGTATAACTGTAACTGGAGGAATGAATACTAAACAAGAATACGATATAACATGTGTGGGATGTAATCCACTGGGAGCAGTCAAGTACAACATTACCTGTTTTGACTCAGAGATGGCGGGTAAACAGGAAGGAGCTGTTACCAGGAGGGCTGGTGCGGAAAAAAGAAGGGCTAGTGTGCAGGAGGAGATATCTGGCTTTAAAGAAGAATGGGAACATTTTACAAATTACTTAAAACAACAACAAAATGAACTGGACTCCTTGGCAGGTTTTGAATAAACATACACAAATTTATTATTGCTAACATAATAGACAGATAAATTAAGGATCTTTACAAGTTTATATTATGCAAAGAATAATATGTGTTGAAAAATCAGAGAGAGGAGCTGAGGGAAGTCTTGGGGGGAGGGAGGGAGGGTTTTTCTTGGGGAGGGGGAAGGGGAAAATGGGGGAAATGAAGATGATATGTTTTTGATAATTTGTTATGATGAAATTCTTAATAAAAATTATTTTTTGAAAAATGTTTAAATAACCTCTAGAGCCACTGCCCTAAGCAAGCTACCTATTATTGACCCATATTCCATTTGTGTTCCTTTTTTTTACAGATGGGGACAGCTCCCAAGTCTACATTGGACATTTTGTGGAAGAGGGGATGAGTCTAGAAAAGCCAAGCAGAGTGGGGTCACGTCATGCTGTGTTGAGAAACCCCAAGTTCTCTCCCCGTGGAGTAGTTTTCAAAAAGCCTTGGTTTAAACGGAAGATGAAGGTCCACTGCATCACACTGCTCTATCAAGTGCTTGAAGTTCCAGCTCAAAAATTCCACCTATACCTCCTCCCAAACGACTCTTCTCTAAGAAAGGTAATTGGGAATCTTTCACTTGCTAAGTGGCATGAGACTTGCAATATAATTAGATGCAAGAACTGTGGGCAAACTCATTCATCAAGGTGTGCTTGGATTGATTGATTGATATTGATTGATTGATTGATTGATTGATTGATAGATATTGATTGATTGATTGATTGATTGATTGATTGATTGACGTTCTAGCAAACATGAACCCACATTAGCAATTGCCCCCCACCAGCATTAGTATTCAAATATCCAGTATAAAAATAAACCCCTTTCCTTTGCTGGGCAGAAGCCAAATGACTGTCTTCTTCTCTAGACACAGTGTTGTCATCGAATTGTGTAAAGAAAATACCTTTATGCCAGGTTATGTAGCATGTTGACTTGGAAGTCTTCCCTGAGGTGAGGCTTGGAATTGGCTTAGCAGCTTGGCATCTCCCTTGCATGTCTCAAAAATCACTCTGTTTGGGGGCCACTAGGGGGCGCATCGGAAGATGGCTGACAATAACATCTCTCCGACCCACATGAGGTAATTTGGAGGCTATGATGGGGGTAATTAGCCTCCTTAACCCCTCCAGGATTGTGGGGGGGACGGCCCTTGCCTGCTGTGCCCTATACCACCCCAAATTTGTGGGGATGGGGGCACTAGGCACAAAGCCCTCCTGTGGGATTCCGGCACTCCTCGATGCCGTCTCTGATCCGCGCCACTAGTTTGCAAGAATCTTCAAAAGAAACAATTTGGACGAGATAAATTGCACATACTTTTAGGATAGATGGGGAGTTTTGACTGGTGAAAGAAGAGATCTCTGATAAAACAAGACAAGAATAAGATATGAGAAGATACGTCAAGATACGGTAGGCCAAATGACGGCGGGGGGAGGGGGGGAAAACCCTCCTTTATTTCTCTATGTGATTAAACAAGAATCCCCTCCCCTAATGAGTCAGAAATGTCGTTTTAAGGACTTAAGTTGTGGATTTAAGGCTGTGTGGAGATAAATTTTCGAACCAAAGCAATGTTCCAAGACGAAGCTGGAAATTTAAGAGTTTTGGAATGACGCAGTTAAAAATGCCGTCGCCATTTTGGGAGGCACTGTCGGAGCTCTTGAGTCTGGGAGGAGAAAGAGAGAAACAGAGTTGTTTACATATCGTGGACTAACTCCTCAGTGGGACTTAAGAGTGACAACTGCCTAATTTATGATGGAAAGAGCGATGTTATCTACGAAGGAGATGATATATGGAAACCATCTGGACTTAGATTGGAAGAACGGGAAATTCACACAGGATTATTATATTTGCTTATCGGCTTAAGGAGACTAACAGAAGAGATCAGTAAGGAAAAAGAGAAAGTATATGAACAAGATATGATGTGGAAACACCAAGATAAGATTGGATAGAACTATGAACTCTGTTTGGACTGATTGGGACTGATTTGGACATTAATGCAGTAATAAGAAGATGATTTGAATCCCCCTTTGGATCTTGAAGTATGGGTTCCCCCAACAAAATTTAAAAATTTGGCTTTGTAATTTGGAATTTATGTGATGTGATTTAATTTGATGTGATTGGCCAGTTAATAAAAATTATTAAAAAAAAACCACACAAAAATCACTCTGTTTGTGCTTCCCAGACAGTCCATGAGAAAGAAGAGAAATGCCCTTCGTGGAGATTGGATAAACCCTCTGTCATCCTCAAGCCTCTTAAGATTGGCTCTCGCTTCTTTGTGCAGAAGTTAGATGATGTTGAAATCTGCCCCAAGGTAAGACGCAAAAATGATGGAAAGTGTTACCTGGAGGGAGTCTGTGTGGTATGAGAAGGGGACAGCTATACCAGGATCCCTTCAACCTCTTATTTACTTCCCTTAAAATTGGTAGACCATGGGCTAAGCCATAGTCACACAGCTTTCCCTCTTTCCTACAGGAACTGGAGCTTCAATATTTGCATGCAGACATGGAGCAGCAGTACCTTGAACTCTATGCTGAACACAGGCAAGATAAGTTCCACTTCAACCTGATAGAGAAGAAAAGGGATGAACTCATCTGGGAGGCCTTTGTGAGACAAGGTGAGCTTTGCTCAAGGGAAGACTGCAAGATTAGACCATAGCTTGAAAAGGCCACATGCACTCTCTGACTGCATCTTCCCTGTTCTCTTTCAGAAGAGCTGAAATCTTCTAACCCAACAGAAGGTCAGTAGGAATGCAGTAATAGCCTACCCAGGGTTGCACATCTGGAATGGTGCATATTCACTATGGGAAATTTTAGAGTGAGATTTGGAAGTCATCCTTGAAGTCTCTGCTTGCTTCATGCATCTGCTCATTCTCTCTCTCTCTCTCTCTCTCTCTCTCTCTCTCTCTTCCAGCTGCTAGTGGCTACATAGAGACTTCTGCACTGTTCCTCAGCAGTGCCTCTGGAACATGCCATGAGTTATTTCTCATATTCTCAGCCATTTTCTATCCCTATAAATGTCTGGGAGGCAGGACAGCTTGAAGACAAATTACGCCTTCTACTTTGATCACCTCTCTCTAGAGCTCACTGTCTTGAAACATCCTCTGCAGCCATTTTTTAAAAAGAGCATTTTCTTTTATTTTTGTCTGACAGAGGCAAGCCCACCTCATCCAATGTCAGTCTCACCAAAACAACATTTCATTGAGCAACACCGGGAAGAGCTGATCCAGCGGACCAGCAACGTGGAAGCGGTGCTGGATATGCTCCTAGGCACCATTCTGAATAATGAGCAGTATGAAACGATCTCTTCGAAGGGAACCAACCAAGAGAAAATGAGGGCGCTCTACATGCTGGCGCCAAGTTGGAACCGCTATTGCAAGGATCTGCTTTACAAAGTACTGAAGAACAGAAATCCATATCTTTTTGATGAACTGGAAGGGAAATGAGACCACAATGAAGTCAAAGAGAGACAACAGGAACTCCAACTGCATGTACTATGTGACTTCAGTTCTTCCTTAATCAATAAAGAAGGGACCGTATGAGGTCACTTCCTTAATGCTTTTTTGGGGGGGGGAATTTCCAACAAAGGAAATAATATTATGTATTTGCCCCTGCATGAGCTCTCTTTTGTTTATCTTACTAAAATGTGTGGTTCATTCTTAGCAATGAGGACAAAGAAGGGGAGGTCAGCTGACCACAAATAAACAGGTGCAATTGCCTAATTCCTAGCTTGCAGTGAGCTGCATTAGGGTTTTTTTTATTCTGCTAAAAGGGCTTCACAGCCTGTTTCTCAAACACGTGTGGGACAGGAGGTTTAAATTTTAATTTACAAAATTAATCCTCAATCCATTGCCATCAAAATCAGCAATTGCTGCTGGCTGAGCCTTGTCCTTTTCCAGTTTGTCCATCACCAGAGAAGAGTGGGAGAAAGAAACTTGCTTATTGCAAGCACCAGCAGCATAAGGGAGATGTCTCTCCCTAAGCAGGTGTCTTAAAAATAAGGGGACTGCTTGCTTTGGCTGCACCAGTAGGGAACAGGCACGTCCACTGCCAAATCAAGCAGCATTTAAACACACACACCCCAGTCATCAGCAGTGAGCTATCAGAAAACGTACAAGGATTTTAGGCTGACAGGTTTTTCAACCTAAATCAGATAAGTTCTGGTTTTAGATTGATAGAAAAAGTGTCACAGTTATTTCTGAAAACCAGAGTTATGGGAGCACAACAGAATGGCAGGAAATTGCCCAAATCTCACAGTTGTTTCATATATATATATATAACAAGCCTGATCCTCTGTCACTTAACTGTGTCCCCTCAGCTTTTCTTTCAGCTTCTTCCCACCCTAACTTTTCTCTCAATAGTCCAGCAAAAACGAAGCACTGCAAAACCAGCAAGCACTAAGCATAGGTTTGTGCAAGGCAGAAAAGAAGTCCTCAAAGAGCTTCACAGGCTGAAGAGATCTCCAGAAGAGTTCCTTCTGCAGTGTAGCAAAGAAGTGGGGAGAAAGAATTGCAACAGGGGCTGCTCCAGGCTGGACTCTGGGCCTCAGGCTGAGCCCCCTGCCTCCCTCACACTAACTAGAGGGACTGGAAATGGCAACAGAATGAGACACTCCTTCCTGCTTACCTCTGCAGTGTGGGATGTAATCCATTGGAGCAGTCAAATACAACATTTCTTGTTTCCCTAGAGTGGACACAGGAAATGTTACTCCAGCCAAGGTAGAATTTCCTGTTACACCTGGTCTGGAGCTTTCTCCCCCTGCATGTGACCAAGTAGATGAGCATGACCCTTGCAGACCTAACAAAAGGCCCAGTCATGCAACCATCTCTCTCTCCTATTTTGGCCACTGCTCCTGGTGCATTTGATGCTGTCTGCTGGCTCTCTGCCAGCAGCACATAGGCCCATCCTTACAAGGATGTAAGCCACACTAGTCCTGAGAGGCATGTATTAGCTTCCAGGATGTTTCCGAGCACAATTCAAAGTGTTGATGCTGACCTTTAAAGCCCCAAATGGCCTCAGTCCTGTATAACTGAAGGAATGTCTCCACCTCCATTGTTCAGTCTAGACACTGAGATCCAGCGCCGAGGGCCTTCTGGCAGTTCCCTCACTGAGAGAAGTGAGGTTACAGGGAACCAGGCAGAGGGCCTTCTCAGTAGTGGCGCCTGCCCTGTGGAACGCTCTCCCATCAGATGTCAAGGAAATAAGCAACTATTCTAGTTTTAAAAGACATCTGAAGGCAGCCCTGTTTAGGGAACTTTTAATGTTGTATGCTGTATTGTGTTTTTAATATTCAATTGGGAGCTGCCCAAATTGGCTGGGGAAACCCAGCCAGATGGGCAGGTTATAAATAATAAATTATTATTATTATTTCTGGGATCATACTTTGAATTGAATGTGAGTAAACATTTCATTACTTATAATGAAGACTCTTGTGTCTTTTTTCTTTTAGGAGGGAATCAAAGGGGTCTTACCAGGAATATACCATATTTTTTGGTCCATAAGACGCATCTGACCATAAGACGCACCTAGTTTTTAGAGGAGGAAAACGGGGGGGGGGGGGAATATTCTGAATCAAATGTTGTACTCAACTATTTAATAAACTACCAGTATAATATCAGAGTGAGACGGAGAGGGACAGGAGCTCTATGTTTCTTTAGCATGCGCGCTCAAGGAGCGGGGAGGCAGCACACCCCCGGACGGACCTGACACAGGAATCCCAGCAGCCTCCTCTCGTGTAAACGGCTCCTCTCCCTCTTTGCTGCTTTAAAGTGAGCCCGTCCCTCCCTCCCTACTCCACAGCTCGCTTTAAAGCAGCAAAGCAGGACAGGAGCCACTTACACCTAGCTTCCTGCTGTGTATAGAAGGGAATGAACTCTGCTGTATGACTCACTAGCTTGAGTTAGGAAGGATAATATTTAATCAATATATCCTCTCCTACTATCCACAATTCCCACATGCAGCCTCTCCTGTTTTGTGCTTTTTTACAGGGCTCAGCTGGTGCTGACTTTGAATGGGTGTGATGGTGAAGATCCTCCACAGCCATCTTTTGGACATCTTGAAGGACTTGGGGAGGAGGAATTCAAGAAGTCCAAGGGCAAATTCATTCAGTTCCTTTAGTGAGCAGGTTTAGATTTTTGTGCTCCTTTAGTTTTTATACTTCAGGGTCTACAGAACTCCCTGGCACAATAAATTTAATCAAACCTTATTTTGCCTTTTTCTGCTGCTATCCATTCCCCTAGAAGGCCTTCGAAGTATGAATGTCACAGGCCTGAGTTTGACGCTGGAGACGGAATGATATAGTAACTAGGATGGCTAATTAAAGGTATATTTTGTACATTAATGGAATACTGATATTAACTTGGGGTCTTACATGAGTTTGTTGACAGTTTTGAAGGACTCTGCTGTCTCGATGAGAGATGTGAAGGAGAAGACCTGTGGTCTTGCAAACAATTTCCCAGAGAAGAAGTTACTCTGCAGTTCGCCCATTAATCCTGGCGCTTACCCGCTGCACACCTGAGGCTGCCTGGTTTCCTAACTGTGGTTAGATCAGGAGAAACCTGTGGGCTTGTGTTCTCCTTCCTGCTGTCTCCTCTCCTGGCGGGTTGGTGTCATGTTGCATGTCTTACTTACCTAAAAGTTAATGGAAGGAAATGAAGGTCAGCAGAAGGCCATATATCCCTCATAATATATACACCAGTTGAGAAATACTTTCCAATTATTGGCCTTTAAAATGAGGAACAGAAGACCTCTCAAGGAGGAAGAAACTTTGAAAATAAGGGCACGCTTAGGGATCTGAAACTTCAAGCCTGCACGCCTTGCCAACCCTAGTCCCTGTCTATGCAGGCCAAGTTGGATTGCTGGACTTATCTGAGAGCACAGGAATACAGGAAGCTGCCTCATGTCAGTTGGTCCACCTGGCTCAATATTACTGACACTGACACTGACTCTTCGGGGTCTTCCCAGCACTACCTGGAGACCACAAGGGATTGAACCTTGGGTCTTTTTGCATAAAAGCAAGCGCTCTGCCATTGAGTCATGGACCTTCCCCAATCAGCCTAGTCTAAAGTTTTACACACTGAATGTGCTCCAACTGCTAGCATTAGGAAGTGAAGGCAATTGTAGGGACGCGGGTGGCGCTGTGGGTAAAAGCTCAGGGCCTAGGACTTGCTGATCGTAAGGTCGGCGGTTCGAATCCCCGCGGCTCCTGCCCACCTAGCAGTTCGAAAGCACCCCTAAGTGCAAGTAGATAAATAGGTACCGCTTTATAGCGGGAAGGTAAACGGCGTTTCCGTGCGCGGCACTGGTGCTGGCTCGCCAGTTGCAGCTTCGTCACGCTGGCCATGTGACCCGGAAGTGTCTTCGGACGGCTCCGGCTCCCGGCCTCTTGAGCGAGATGAGCGCGCAACCCTAGAGTCGGTCACGACTGGACCATACAGGCAGGGGTACCTTTACCTTTATCTTTATACAGCTAAATGCAGGCATGCTGGAATATTCTGTTACTGATTTGCTACTAATGCAAATAATGGTGTGTGTATCACTCCATCTTTCAACCTGTGGAGTTGTGACCGAGTCGATGTCGTTTTAATATATCACCCGGCTCAGCTGCCTTTAACTTGTTTTTTCCTCCAGCTTCATCCCACCGGAACGTCTCTCTCTCCAGTCCTGCAGAAACCACATGCTGCAAAAATCAGCATTTTTAAGTGCCAGATCAGCATTTTTAACTGTGCCAGAAGAAGGGATATTCCCAAAGAGCATCATAGGACACTCCAAGACGGCTGCTATTTTTGAATGGGGATTCCAACCACACACGAGCAAATTCAGTTTGTGCAATTTAAGCAGATTTGAAGCTGTCATGCAACATTCTCACTTTCCCAAAAAGAAAGTGACAGAAAAATGTGGTGGGAAATGTCAGACAGCACTTGCTTTGAAGCAACATCTAGCCTTCCTGCAAATGAATCAGAGCAAATACTGCCATCTAATTTCCTTGCAAACAAATTGGGATAAATGCCCCCCCTGAATGGATTCAGTAGTTGTTGTTGTTTAGTCGTTTAGTCGTGTTTGACTCTTTGTGACCTCATGGACCAGAGCACGCCGGGCACTTCTGTCTTCCACTGCCTCCCGCAGTTTGGTCAAACTCAGGTTGGTAGCTTCAAGAACACTGTCCAACCATCTCCTCCTCTGTCGTCCCCTTCTCCTTGTGCCCTCCATCTTTCCCAACATCAGGGTCTTTTCCAGGGAGTCTTCTCTTCTCATGAGGTGGCCAAAGTATTGGAGCCTCAGCTTCACAATCTGTCCTTCCAGTGAGCGCTCAGGGTTGATTTCCTTAAGAATGGATGGGTTTGATCTTCTTGCAGTCCATGGGACTCTCAAGAGTCTCCTCCAGCACCATAATTCAAAGGCATCAATTCTTTGGTGGGACTTATGCATATCCTAAAAGGCAACACCAAATCACACACACCTGATTCACCCACAAGAGAGCAAAGCAGATTCATGCATTTATTGATAAAAGTATTTGTATACTGCTATGCCATTAATACCATGGGTAGGCAAACTAAGGCCCGAGGGCCAGATCCGGCCCAATCGCCTTCTAAATCTGGCCCACAGACGGTCCGGAAATCAGTGTGTTGTTACATGAGTAGAATGTGTCCTTTTATTTAAAATGCATCTCTGGGTTATTTGTGGGGCATAAGAATTCGTTCATTCCCCCACAAAAAAAAAACTCCGGCCCCCCACAAGGTCTGAGGGACAGTGGACCGGCCCCCTGCTGAAAGTTTGCTGACCCCTGATTAATACACAATATAGCAAAGTGGTTTACAGCAACACAACTATACAAAAAAACAAAAAAAGAGTTAAAACCAGACATCACTTAACCATTATGGAAGGAACATTAATTTCCTGCATAGGCCAGGCAGAATAGAACAGTTTTCAGCAGGGCTTTAAAAGCTGGCACAGAAGGTGCCTGAATCTCTGGGCGGATGACACTAAAGGTTCTACAGTACAGTGGTACCTCGGGTTAAGTACTTAACTCGTTCCGGAGGTCCGTTCTTAACCTGAAACTGTTCTTAACCTGAAGCACCACTTTAGCTAATGGGGCCTCCCGCTGCTCCGTGATTTCTGTTCTCTCACCGCCGCGTGATTTCTGTTCTCATCCTGAAGCAAAGTTCTTAACCTGAAGTACTATTTCTGGGTTAGCGGAGTCTGTAAACTGAAGCGTCTTTAACCTGAAGCGTCTGTAACCCGAAGTACGACTGTATATCTTATTTTCAAATGAACCTCTATGAGGCTGAAAATTCATTTATCAGCACGGTGTGGGTCCCCCTCCCCACGTGCATCGCGCTGCAGTTGCTCAACCACCTGCTGCGTCCTGTCCCTTCCTCCCGCTTTTCCCCGGCCTCCTCCCAGGTTTGGATCCCGGGGACAAGAAACCCCTTCCCTTCTACCACAATGTAGGAAAAACCTCTCTCAGAAAAGCTTAAGCAGACTTCAGAGTCCTTCCCCTCGGAGCCCTTCCGAAGCCGCGCAACTTGCGCGCCTGCCGAAGCGCACGGCTGGGCGGGGCGGAAAAGAGAGAGCAGCTGGAAGAAAAAGCCCTTCAGGCCATCTCGTCCCCGCCGTCGAGTCTGCTGGTGTCTGAAGCGAAAATGCTCCTCTGGTTCCCCAGGCGATTGGGGGCGGTAGGCGGGGAAGGCGAGAGTCTCAAGATCCCAGCACAAGGGATGAGGAAGTCGCATGCGAAGGAGAGAAACCGAAACGTCGCAGAAAGCCTCCAGCAGGCTTCGGCGTCCTGGCAGAGACTGCGCACCTCCTTAAGAGCGGGGGTCGGGCAGGAGCGCGGGGCAGAAGCGAGCCGCGGCAATCGCGGTCTCCGTCACCGCCGTCGAGTCCCCTGGTGTCTGAAGCGGGGCTCTGCCTCTCGGGACTTCGACGGGGCGAGCGACTGAAGAGGACAGGGAAGGCGGCTGGGAGAGGCCAGAAACCCGCGCAGAGCTTCTCCGCCCGAGGGATGTGGAAGTAGCCCGTTAAGGAGAAGGAAGCCGCTCTTGCAGGGCCTTTGGGTGGGGGGAAAATGCTGTCGGTGAAATGTTTTCTGAGCTGCGCTGGGGACGGGTGCTTCTCTGAAGAGGATTCCTTCCGCTCCGGTAGAGCATCCCGGCTGCCAAGTCTCCGCTTGTTCCGTGGCGCCAGCCGTGGCCCCCTGAGTCTCACCCCGGCGCGCTCCGAGGAGGGCGAGCTGGAGAAGTTCCCGGTCGAGCTGCTCCGCCACAACCGCGAGAGCAGCGCCGTGGAGGTGGCGGCCAAGGCGCGGAGGACCATCGACGGCCGGCGCCAGGCGGAGAAGCGCCTCCTCCGCAGCAGGCAAGGTAAGGACCTCGGGAAGGGGAGCCGTTGCTTCGCCCAGATCTCCTATGGAAACGTTGGCCGGGAGAGGGGAGGTTTGCTTCCCGGGGTCCAGCTGTACAAGCGCGTGGCGACAAAATTGGAGGGACGACTTGGCCTCCCTTCCTATATCCCCGCTTTGCTCTCCTTCTCCCTCTCATTATTCCATTGCATCACCTCAACATGGACATTAAACGGCAGGGACGAAATTTCGAATATATTGTATCTCTCTTCTATGCGTTATTCTGAAGAACACTTTCTTACTCAACCTTCCTTTGCAACAGTTATTTTTGAAAAATGGCAAGCCGAGCTAGGAAAGACTTGCCTCTATCTGCGGCCTTGGAGAGTCACTTGACCTTGAAAGTTGGCCCTGGGAAATTAGGCAGGCAAGCGGTAGGATCCCGTATAGGGAAGCTTTTCATACCCTGTTGAGGTTCTCGTTCTTTTTCTGCTGATGTCAAAAGAAGCAAACAAGCAAACAAACGTTTCTACAACAGGTAATTTGCAAAATGTCACAATGTCTAGTGATGAGATGATCCACACGGGAAGGAAACATCTATGGAAAATTCCTGAAAAGGACCCAGAACACATTTTCGAAGAATGTGAGAAAGGTCACAAATTGCCGATTAGAACTCGGGAAAGGGGGATGAAAACTTGTCACCAATTTGTAGAAATGGACAATTGGAAACAGAGGCGGTCGTACAAAATGCAGCGCAAGGTGAGTTTGGTTTAGGGTTCTTCCTAATCCCCAAGGACAATGAAATTTCTCCTTCGATCACAGTACAGCTATGTGGGATTATAAATAATTGTCCTTATTTTACAGAGTGGAATCAAATTTCAATCCAGATTCCTGCCCACTCAGTGCTGTGGTGAGAAAAAACCCCAGTTTGTAGAAGAAGAAGGCAGTAGTGAGACAGAGGAGACTGCAGATTTTGGGGGAAGTGTCCAGTGTAGTAGGTGTCCCAGTAAGGTAAGGGACTGGACTCAATCTGATTTGCATTACCACCCACAGGAATGAGGAATACATGGATACTTTCAAGGTGAATCTACCAAACTTGAAATTCAGGTTTACTGTGGAAAGTAATCTGTTTGTGGGAATGTTAAGGAAGGTAGGAGAGGATATATTGTTTTGACATTATCCCTCCTCATGCTAGTGAGAAAACAGCGGGAGCGGGGGGCGGGGGGAGGAGGGAATCCTTTTGCACCTTATTGGAAGCAAGTTGATGATTCGTTAGAATCCTTTAATTAAGCAATCCAGTCTGGCTTGTCCAGTCTGGATTGTTCGTGGTAAGTTTCCTCTTTATTTCCCTCTTAAAATAATAATAACACAACACAGTCTTCTTTAAGAGTAAGAATAAAGTTTTATTCACATTCAGTTCACAGCAGTAATCTGAAGGCAGGCTTTATCTTGTGGTTACAGTGAAAAGAAGTCTGAGCTACATCTCAGACTTTCTGCTTTTGGGCTCCATCCTATGAGAAGGTTGAGCCATGTGCTGGCTGAGAGCCAGGAGAGCAAGAGTCCAAGAGACAGATGGTTGCGTGGCCAGCCAGGGTCATGCCCATCTACCTGGTCACACAAAGGGGCAGGAAGCGTCAGAGCAGGTATGACAGGAAGTCCTCTCTGTCTGGAGCCACATTCCTCTGTGTGTCCATTCTAGGCAACAGGAAAATGTTGTACTTGGCTGCTCTAGTAATAATACATCCCACACTTTTTAGAACCATTGGTGTTGGTTTGTGTGTGTGTCAATAGATAGTGGTAAAGCAGTTTCCCTACAGTTGGCAATGGAAGTAAATAGAATTGCAATTGACTTTCTGTACTATCACACTGTGATTTCAGTTTCGGGTAGAATCATCAATCCTATTCACATTTTACAGACGGTCCACTGAATGTTATCAATTTGAAATCCACACTTTTTTTCTGGTGCTTTAACATTTTTTAATCAGTGTACATTCAGCTTGTAGCGGAGGTCGTCAATTTCAGCCTACCTTCGTGGAATGTCTCCTATACTAAACTGCCTGTTGAGGATTTTGGGGGAAGAAGGACATTCTTATTTTCAGATGAGATTGGGTGGGTGTGCACGTGAATTGGCATCAATATTAATCATTACTGCTTTGTTAAAGGTTCTTCCAGGAAAAATCATCCCAGAGGTGGTTCTGGATTTACAAGGGAATCATACATCCTACAAGTGAGTAATTTATCTCACACATTTTTCAGCCTACCTTCTGGGGAATGTTCTGTAGACTCGGCTCATGTGGGTCGCACAATCATGATGAATGTTGCTGTTCTCTAAAGCACACCCAGGTTACATCTGTAGCTGCACATTTATGTGGCAGATCACTAGCAGTGACCAAGATCTATTTCAAGGAAGCTGTGGGTCAGCTACTATATCAGATGCAGGAATACCAAGGATGAATAACCACAAATTTCAGGCAGTGTTAAACTTTTACTACATGATATGTTTTACCAAGCAAGCACATAGGACACGAGTTATGATTTCTCTTAACAGCAAAGGAATGTGTTCCACCCCCTTCCCCATTTGACTTTTTCTTGCTTGCTTTCAGGTTATGCTTTACTGAGGCTGGCTCTTTCCGTTGCTGTTATACTGATCTCATATTTGAGGTGAGGGGAGCTGTGACCATCACATACCAATTTGACTCATGGCCTAAACACCTGAACAGGTGGGATGCATGGAAGTTGATGGTTGCCGGCCCTTTGTTCAACATCCAAGCAGATCCAGTCGAGTCTGTGTCAGCTATTCAACTCCCTCACTTCTTGTGTCTTGCAGGTATGGTAAGAGAAAGCTTCCATAACCATTGTAACAAGAATCCTAAATGGGATTGACTATCATGGCATGGGAGGGAGAAGTAGGGAGACTTGGCTTCCTAACCTAAGCTCTTATTTTCCCCCACTTGTAACATGCTTGTCCCTCTTAAACCATTTTGATTGTGAGACCAGCAGGGCAATAAATCAGCATTAAGCGTTGGGTTTGACTAACATTTATTCAGAGTAAACCCACTGAAGGGAATGACTAAATGGGTCAATTCATTTCAGTGGGTAAAGATTAGTCATTTGGGAGGTAGGACAGGATACACATCTAATAAATAATAAATGGTAGTTGAATAGTTCACGTGAACTTGAGTATACACCTCTTCAGTGTTTACACACTCTTCCGAGGACAAAATAGCTCTGCTGTCCATGGCCCATGTTTTCTGGTTTCCTGCTCTTCATTTGTTTTGTGGGAAGACGTGCAGATGCTCCTTGAACTTTAGTTCCCATTCCTTACTACCAATTCAGATAATAAATGCTGCTGTGTGGTTTGAATTGCAGCTATTATATTCCAAGGACCGCTAGATCCATTGTGGGTGCAGAAAGTGAATCTCAACCCAGACAAAACTGTTGATTAGTGGAAGGAGAGTTCTAAGGGGCTGGCAGAGAAGTTTAGAGGACCATCTCTGGCCCCCAAGACTGAGGATGCCCACCTTTGCTGCAGTGCCTCAGCTAAGGAACTTCTTGTTGCAGTAGAGCCAACTTTTCTTTTGCCTTTAGCAAATGCTTCAAAATTCTGTTGTTCATATATGCATTTGGCCTGGATGACCTGTGAAGTTTTTTTGTTTATCAGCTCCTGATAATTTAATGTCACTGCTTTTTCTTGGGGTTTTTGAAATTGCTGGTTTTGAATTTATGACTTTTATTACCTAGATTAGCCTTTCTGATGTGTCCTATTCAAGATAAAAAGACACAAGTTTTTGTTTTTACAAAATATATAAATACTTCACCCTACAAATCTAGATAAGCTCATTAAAATACAGCCCAATAACTAATGCCACCTATTTTGATATATGTTTGCTCAAAAAATTTTTTTGCCAATTTAACTGCTTTATATATGGCTTAAATTAATGCAATCTGGCACTTCTCACTTGCCTGTGCAATAGGAATGCCTCTTACAGTGTTCATGGCTTACAGTATTGGAATCTGGGCAACAGAGAGCAGATGCTCATTTGATTTATTTTTTTTAAATGATATTTATTAAGGTTTCCAAAAAAAAAAGTTACATATATAAGAAAAAGAAAAATAGAGAAAAGAAAAAATACAAAATACAGAAAAAATAAAAGAGACTTAAAAACAAATCAATCTTTCCATACCTTACATTTCATTTACTTGTTTCCCTGACCTCCTCACGCCTCCCTTTTTTGTATTCCAGTTCAGTTAATTAATTCAGCAATTCCTTTCCCTCTTTGTTTTTATCTTAATCCTTTAACTTAATATATTATAGCTTTAGATTCTCACCTGTTAACAATCCATTTTTACATACACCTTTATAACATTGCTGCTAAAACCACTTAACTTCATTCTGACATCATTCTAACATTCATTAATTTTGCAGTATTTCTGTAAATAGTCTTTAAATTTCTTCCAATCTTCTTCCACCGACTCTTCTCCCTGGTCTCGGATTCTGCCAGTCATTTGAGCAGATGCTCATTTGAGACAATTTGTGCTAGACATAAAGCAGCATCTATTATCACAGGCTATCAAAAAAAGCAAGCAAGTTATGAAAAAAAAAAAAAAAAAAAGGCTGGATAAATTGATGCTCAGCCCGTCACTTGAAACAGCATAACAGCATTCCAGTGTACAGTATTTTGAACCTTCTGGAGTCTTCAGGAATGGGTGAACTAAAGGTCGTAAGAACTAGGTGCCTACCTGAGGGCAGTGGGTCTACAGGCTAACTACTATTAAACTGTGTTTCATTTGCATTCCTTCCTCTGATAGGTAAAAAGGGTTCCCAAGTCCGTATAGCACATTTTGTCGGTAGGATGATGAGTCTGCAGAAGCCAGCCAGAGTGGGACCACTTCATGCTGTGTTGGAAAACCTCAAGTTATCTCCTTGTGGAGCAGTTTTCAAATTTTGGTTTAAGCAGAAGATAAAGGTGCACACTGTGGCCCTGCTCTATGAAAAGCTGGAAGTCTCTGCTCCAATATTCCACCTGTACCTCCTCCCCAATGACTCTTCCTTTAAAAAGGTAACCAGGAATCTCCGGTTCTACTGGGTTCTACAAATTTGCAAGATGATTAGCTTGATCCTGTTGATCAGAGCAAGGTCTGAAGGTCTGAAGGCATATGAAGCCATCATCTTGCTGAGGCCAAGCAGGTCAGGGTTTGGTCAGTGCCTGGGTGGGGGGTTAATTAGGAACTGCATGTGTGGTTTCTTGGATTCCATGGTGGAAAAAAGACAGGGAATCCATTGACCAAGATTCAGTATTGAGTGTCAAAGTGACCTAGTTTTCCTTATATGTTGTTAGTCTCGGAAGCGTTTACCCAGAGAATATCTGAACCTCTGCCAGTTCAGTTTGTTGGAAAATCCTCCAGCAGTTTGTCATCTTCTTTGCATGTCTCAAAAGTGACTTTGTTTGCTCGTTCCAGGCTGTCCATGAGTATGAAGTGAAGTGCCATTCACGAAAAATGCAAAAAAATCCTGTGACCATGAAACCTCTTAAGATTGGCTCTTGCTTCTTTGTGCAGAAGTTAGATGGTGTCACAATCTATCCGAAGGTACAGTGCGAAGAGGGTGAAAGGTTTTGCTGGGAGGTACCTAGCCTGTGAGGTATGAGGATAGGAGAACCTCAGCTCAGACCTCTTCAGCCCTTTGCTTACCCTCTTGAATGGAGGGCTGGGTGGAAAGCTGTGGGTTAAGCAACATTCGCACATAGAATCATAGAGTCGGAAGGAACTTTGGGAGTCATCTTTTCCACCTGCCTCTACAGTCCACCTCCCTGCCCAGTGCAAGCTCTCCAAAGAAGGATGCAAATACCTGTTAAATCCCTTTGGAGATGACTGTGCAGCCTCTTCTTAAATAATACCAGTGAAGTTGGGGCCACCACCTCCCAAGGCACTGTCCCAATGGTAACAACTGTTACCATTAGGAAGTTTTCCGAAAGGTTTTGCCAAAATCCACCTCCTTGCAATTTCCACCCATTGTTTTAGTCCTGCTCACTGGACCAACAGAAGTCCATCTTTCACTCATTCTTACAGGAACTGAAGTTAAACTATCTGAATGCAGACATGAAAAAGCAGTACATTGAACTGTGTGCTCAGCACATGCAGGATGAACTGGAGCTCAACCTGATAAATAAGAAGGATGAACTTGTGTGGAGGGCCTGTGTGAGACACGGTGAGCATTGATTGAAAGAGGACCAAAGGTTGGACCATCCATTGGGAAGCAGGCTAATGGAGGACATTCCAGCCACATTCCCCCTCTGATTTCCCTTTTTCTGTTATATTTCAGATGAGTTGACTTCTTCTGTTCTGCCCCCAGCACAAGGTAAGTTTTATTTATTTATTTTAATTGTTTATTCACTTCCTCTGTGTTTGTGCTTGTATCCCATCCTTCTTCCCAATAGGTGCAAAGAGTAAGCATTTGATAAAGTATTAGATACTAAGGCAATGCAACACCCCCGCCCAACTGAAATACGATTCAGGATCAACTCCAGATCTGGTTCAGTTCACATTAATATGGATCTGGCCCAACCCAATCTGGAGTCCTGATCTGAATTGCAATCCAGAAAAAAACAAATCTTCAAAAATCTCATTTGCTGCATTCAGAAACCAAAAGAGCTATAGCCTTTTGTTTGTTTGTTATTTCATATAGGTGGTGAAACTTGGGAAACATGAGGGGATTAACATTGCCAAATTTCAGACAGGGTAACTCTGGGTTAGCCACCTTTAAACATTTGATCAAGGAAGGACTCTATGATTTGACCAAAGCTTGAGATGAAGGATTGATAAGGACATCCCAATCATAGTTTGTCTAACTTCCCTCTTTTCTGTCCTCTTTCAGAAGACTTGAAGCCTTCCGTTTTGCACTCAGCACAAGGTCAGTAGGAATCTATAACATGGTCTCATGTAACCAGGTCTTCTCCCAACGACAAAGGTCTCTTGCATACTAAATTGTCATGGATTTAGAAAGCAGATAGTCAGTGGAATTTTATGTCTGAGAGGTTTTACACTTGGTTTTTGAATAACATAATATGTAAGTAACAAGTGTGCCTCACCAAAATCTGCCCACCTGCAAAGTCCTATTTTGCACTTGGTAACTGACATATATAAGAAGTGTCAGTGGATAAGCTGGGGTGGCCCATATTGGTGAACTCCTTCTGGAGCTCAGTAAGTTAGCATTAATTGTTTTAGTAATTGTTGTTTTGTGAATAACCACAGAGATAAGATATGAAGCCAGGCATCTCACGTCCTGGTCAAGGATTCCAGCAGACCAACGCAGCTCTTGCCTTTCCATGGCTGCTGACAGACCAGTGAGCTTTCCATTACTACTGTCCCAGGAGCAAAATTGTTGCGGAAGTAGAAGCTCTTGGAAACAAGCTAAGTCCTGGATGCTCCAATTCCTACCAGAGGGCAGTCTCTTGCAGCATCTTCTATACCTTCCCCCCTTTAAATGTGAATTGTTCGTCTTTTGTCTGATAGATGCTCATCCACCCAGCTCCTCTGACTGCCATTTCATTGAACAGCACCGGGAACAGCTGATCCAGCGGACCACCAATGTTGCAGCAGTCCTGGATATGCTGCATGGCCAAATCCTGGATGAAGAACAGTACCAAAAAATCTCTTCAAGGGAAACTAACCAAGAAAAAATGAGGGAACTCTACACGCTGGTGCCTGGCTGGAACCACTATTGCAAGGATCAGCTCTACAAGGCATTGAAGGCCAAAAACAGGTTCCTTATTGCTGACCTTGAATGGAGCTGAGGCTGCAGAAATGGAGAGATCTATCCCAGGGGATCCAGTTGCATGCATTGAATGATCTCATGCCTTCCCTTTGGGCTCCTGTGTTTTTAACATTGAGTACTGAATTAAGGAAATCAGCCCTGAATGCTCACTGGAAAGACAGTTCCTGAAGCTGAGGCTCCAATACCTCGGCCACCTCATGAGAAGAGAAGACTCCCTGGCAAAGACCCTGATGTTGGGAAAGATTGAGGGCACAAGGAGAAGAGGACAACAAAGGACGAGATGGTTGGACAGTGTTCTCGAAGCTACCAACATGAATTTGACGAAACTGTGGGAGGCAGTGGAAGACAGGAGTGCCTGGCATGCTCTGGTCCATGGGGTCACGAAGAGTCGGACACGACTAAACGACAACAACTACTGAATCCATTCAGCTGTTCAAAGCAGAATTTCCTACTGCCGGAGCCTCCATCCTCTTCCTATCTTGCTCTTGGTCCACACACACCCGCAGCTGGGGCTCTGCTCTGAATCTGTTCTTCTATGCAAAGACCGTGGGAAGGACAATTTGGATACTGCCTCCAGGGCCTACCCGCTCAATGAAGAATTCAGCGATATCCTTCCCACCCGACCCTTCCCTCAAGGCCCTCAACCGGGCTATCCTAAACGCCTTCGGCGGGCTCTGGAGTCCCAGCTCCCGGGCAGCACTTCGGGAGAGGCCTGGAAGGAGAGCCCCGAGGAGCCCTTCCGCGAGCCGAAGGCACATGCGGGAGAGGAGAAGGAAATTCTCCACTCGAGAGGAAGGAGCCCCAATTGCAACAAGGCTGTCTCCCCCAAGCCTCGCCTCCTCCCTTCCGGAGGACAGAAAGCGAAAGCGGAAGCTGTTAGAGCCGAGAAGGTTCCTCAGACGGGAGGAAAGCGAAAGCAAAATGAGAATTGGAGCCCGGAGCTCCGGACCCGCCCCCTTCCGCCCGCGCGGCCAATCGGAGCCGACGCGAACGGCCAGGGAAACCTTGGAAACAGAGCGTGTTCCTTTAGCGCCACCTGCTGGGCTCCGCCGCGTTGTCGGGGAAGTACAAGAGCCGAGTTTCTGTTTCTCGCCTGCTGCTCGGCGCCCTGCCGGACTTGCAGGAGTCGGATCTGGGGAAGTTCAAAGGCGGATTCCACGCGCTCCTGCTGCGGGGGGATGGGGCGAGGCGGTTCGTCTGGGTTGCCAGAATGGGCGCAGCCAAGGGGGGGGCAGGTGTCCCCCCAATCAACCCAGCCAGATGGGCGGGGTATAATAAAGAAATAAATGTGTGTGTCTGTGTGTGTGCGCGCGCGCATAAAGCTTTCACCTGTTGAATGTCTGCCTGTCGTGCGTCAAAAGCCTCTGACATGGGAGAAAAAGAGATTAAGCGGCAGGCCCGAGGTTTGCTCTGTCAGTCTATCAGAAAACTCGAGCGGAATATATGAAAGACTCGCGCCTTAGGTTTATAGAAAAGGGACGAGTGGTTGCCTGTGATTTCTGTGATGTTTACAAGAACAGACAAGCGCCTGGCTGTTCGCATGGCTTTCCTCTTTATTTCTTACAAACCTGCTCCGTCCCCCCAAGTCCCCCCAGCCCTATCTCTCGCTCCTGCAAGAGCCGTGTGCTGCAGACCCGCCAAGGGTCCCTATTTTCAAAGGACAGTCACGGATTTACAGGTTACTGATTTGATCCTGGAATGTCCCGCTTTTCCTTAGGATGTTTCTATTTTCATCGGAGAAATATTGGAGGGTATGGAGTTTTGCTACCCCCAACTAGGGAACCTTTAGAAGAAACCTAAAGGCAGCCCTGAATTAAGTCTTTCTTAAAGTTTAATGTTTTGTTATGTTTTTATATATGTTGGAAACTGCTCAGAGTGGCTGGGGCAACCCGGTCTGATGGCCGGGGTATAAATAATAACGTTGTTGTTATTGTTGTTGTTGTTGTGCCCCTAATTTCATCAGAGAAATGTTGGAGGGTTTGTCTGCACAACTTGGCGCCTGGAAGCAGGCGCAGCAAGGTGAGGTGGTATCTAGTGCGGAAAATTTCTTGTCAACCCCCCCCCCCATTGATTTATTATTTATTATTATTATATTTGTCTGCAAAAATGGTTTGACTTTAATTCATATTTTCTTACAAAAGAATGTGGATTCTGGGCCTCTGATAACAAGTAGGCGACTGTGGACAGATACTTAAATCTACAGGATGGATTGTGTTTTGGCTTGTGTTATTTTATTTATAGCAGGCACGTCCAACTCTCAAGAGACTGCGATCTACTCCCTCTATAAAAAAAAATCTGGCAGTGACAAAAGTTGTTAAGCTTTTTGGGGGGAGCCAGAGTTATTGAGCTTTTTTGGGGGGTGGGGGAGATCGCGGGGCCTCGGAGGAGGCTGCCTGCCTCCCTACAGCTACACCTGCCTTGCTCCGCCCTTGCCTGAGCGCCTTCTGTAAGCAAATGTTTATAATGGGAGAAACCGTCTCTGCCCAGCGTGCTAAGAAAACAGACAGAGAAAAGCGCGAGAGCCTCGTGGGAGCGTTTCCACCACTTTTTGGAGCTTTCACTCAGGCCACGCCTCTCTCCTCCCGCTGCACCAATCCGAGTCCTACATCCCCATCCCCCACCCCACCCCAGGCACGATGCCTGCCTGCTTTCAATTTTGCAGTTTCCGCGAAGCAAGGTCCATTTCTTGCTGGTACTGAAGGAGCGCCATGGCGAGGAGCGCGAAGGACCGCCTGCTGGACTGCCTGGAGAACTTGAACGAGGGCGAGTTGAGGAGGTTCAAGGCTAAGCTGAACGGGTTCCCCATCTCCAAGGGCTACGACAACATCCCCCGAGGGCGGCTGCAGAAGGCGGATGCGCTGGACCTCAAAGATCTGCTCATCAGCTTCTACGCCGAGGAGTACGCAGTGAAGCTGACCGCCAAGGTGCTGAAAGCCATCAACTGCAAGGACCGCGCCGAGGAGCTCCTGGCCGCCGCCGGGAAAAGTAAGGAGCGGCTGGGGAGGGAGCGCAGCGGCCAGGGTGATCTTGCGCCCCTGGCAGAAGGGTCCAGATTGCGCCCCCTAGCCACGGAGAAATTAGCTCTCTCCTCCAACCCTCCCCCTTCCACCCATTCAATTCCTTACGCATTTCACCTTGCAAGGAATTCTTTCACAGACAATCCAATATTTAATTTATTATTTCTTAGTAAAATGTTTCCGGGGGCTGCGAAGGACCCTCCAGCGCAGCCAGCAGGTAGAGCCCCTTCTTGCCTGGGGTCCACCCCTTTTCGACTTCCCTGAGCCCAGGAGAGCCCCCCTCCGCGCCCCAACCCCCCCGGGTGTTTCCTTTCCTGATTTAGCAGAGGAAGATTTTCCTCCGCCTTTGAAAGGGAGTTGCCGGCAGCTTCCCGGCCCCGCTTGATTCCTCTGAGCGGCCAATGCCCCCCCGGTTCGGGGCAGCCGTCGACGGATCTTCCTCCGCTCCCCTGAGGGCCCTGGGTCAGTCGGTTCCGCGGGACAGCCGCTCCAGCGCCCTTCTTGTCCTTCCTCCTCCAGGGCTCAGGATGCCTTGCAAGGGCCAGGGGAAGAAGGTGCCGCCGGCGCAGGCAGCCGGGACAGGACGCGCACCCCAGAGAGGACGCACAGCCCAGAGAGGAGGAGCAGCCCCCCGAGGATCAGGCGCAGCCCAGAGAGGACGCGCAGCCCCCCGAGGATCGGGCGCAGCCCCCCGAGGATCGGGCACAGCCCAGAGAGGATGCGCAACCCCCCGAGGATCGGGCGCAGCCCAGAGAGGACGCGCAGCCCCCCGAGGATCGGGCGCAGCCCAGAGAGGACGCGCAGCCCCCCGAGGATCGTGCGCAGCCCAGAGTGGAGGCGCAGCCCCCCGAGGATCGGGCACAGCCCAGAGTGGAGGCGCAGCCCCCGGAGGATCGCTCGCAGCCCAGAGTGGAGGCGCAGCCCCCGGAGGACCGCTCACAGCCCAGAGTGCTTTCTGGCTACCCTTTAGCTTTGGCCCTGGCAGAGGTGGATACTAAGGATGGCGAAGGTGGGTCTGGAGGGGAGCGAAACTTTTGCCTCGTCCCGAGTTCGGCGAGTTGCCGCGAAATGAGATACTCCGGTGGTTTAAAGCGGCAGTAGAGTAAAGGTGGTTGAGGTTCATTAGCGCTTTTGCTACATTTTGGGGAAGGGGGACGACTTACTTAGCAAAACTGGGGAGTAGGTTCTTCCACTGAAAGCCTCGTCTTGCCGCATAACTGCCCTTTTCGCTTCTCTCTCTATCTCACTTTGTAAATGAACCAGGAAAACCACAACACAATGGCAGGAAATTGCCTACGTCACACAGTTTCCTATGTAATTTTCTTAACCTGTCACCAAGCAATTAACTGGCTAAACTGGCCTACTGCGCAATTGTTGTCATCGTTTTATTATTATTGCAATAACAACATAAGGGTTCAGGCTCCCTTCCAACTCTACAGTTCTAGGATTTTTTTTTTTTTTTTAAATCATCTTTATTGGTTTGTCATAAATTCTCAAAAATCTTTCTCATACATGTCAACATCCACAATAAGCAAATAAAATCTCAAAACATTCAACATTCAAAATGTGTACTTAAATAAAAAAGGGAGGGGATCCTCTACATGTGGCTGTAGGGGCTATGGAGGGATCCCACCACCGTCCGAACTATGTATAGTGCATGTGCGGTGTCGCTATATACAGTGCATGCTGCACACGCGCGCTGTGTAGCAATGCCCCACCCAAGGTGTCATGATGCCATCGTTCACCCCTGACTTTAGCACCTCCTGCTGGGTGCACCGTTGGGCAAGGACAAGACCCAAGAGCCTTCTTCTCCCCTGCTGCTCAGCGCCCTGGGGGGCTTGCAGAAGTCGGACCTGGGGAAGTTCAAAGGTGGATTCCATGTGCTCCCGCTGCGGGGGGTGGGCGGGTTTGTCTGGCTTCCCAGCATGGGCGCAGCCAAGGGGGGCCAGGGGAGCAGTGTAGGATGTGAAACACAAGAGCAGTCAAGTACAACATTCCTAGAGTGAACATGTTTACACATGGGGAGGAATGTTTGTCCAGCCAGCAGGTCAACTTCCTGTATCCTTCTGGGATGGGACAGACTTCCTCTGCATGTGACTAGAGGTGGGTGTGGCCTCACCTGTGCAGGTAATGACAAAAGCACAGGGCAGGGCAGCCATCTCTCTCTCTTTCACCGCATCAAAGAAACAACATCTACTAAGCCAAAGATGCCCTCTTGGCTTCCAACCAAGAGAGGACAAAGGGACTGTCTTCTTATGAGATAGATTCCAAGTGTATGTTACTTCATTAAGCTAAGTCTGCCTTCTGGGATCCGATTGTGAACAGAATGTGAGTAAACTCTTTTTATACTTTTGTAGAAGACTGTGTCATGTCTTATCTTTTATGAGGGAATAAAGGGGAAAATACCAGAACAGTTATTATAGAGGCTTTAGCGAGCCTGAGCAAACGCATCCCGCTGCAAAGTTTAAAAACAAGGGGAATGTTACTCTGCTGAATTGTGGAACTTGTTAACACAAGTTGGATAAGGATATAATCAGACAATATATCCTCTCCTGCATCCCTGAACATTCCCACAAGCAGATGCCCCCCAATCAATACAAATCAATACAAATCTGAAGTTCTGCCCCCCCCCCCCCGTGGGACTGTTCCGGGATGCAGGAGAGGATATATTGTTTGATTATAGCCTTTCAAACTTGTGTTAACAAGTTCCACAATTTTAGCAGAGTAACATTCCCCATTTCAAACTCACAGCGGATGTGTTTGCTCAGGCTCGCTAAAGCCTCTATAATAACTGTTCTGGTATTTCCCCCTTATTCCCTCATAAAAGATAAGACACAACACAGTCTTCTATAAAAGTATAAAAAGAGTTTACTCACATTCTGATCCCAGAAGGCAGACTTAGCTTAGAAAAGTAACATACAGCCGGAAACTATCTCATAAGGAGACAGTCCTCCGTCCTCTCTTGGCTGGAGGCACAAGCACAAGACACACACTTTTCTAATAAACAAAAAGCCTGTCTCTTTGTATGCGATTTCTGTATGTAAAGTATAAAACTGATCAATGAACTCTGTATTTGCATGCTACCGGCAACCGACCAATCAGAAGCTCAGGATTTTGACAGCTAGCCAATTGCAGTTACCGAACAGTGCCCCCTATCGGGTGGAATTCAGAGCCCGCAGAGCAGCTCTTGATGCATTGTATCTAAGACTGCCAAAATGTTTCCTTTTAACCAAACAGCTTAGGAAAAGATACCTAGCTTTAGAAATTAATATAAAATCAGTACTTTGACCGATTCTTTCAATTCCAACGTCATTTTAACCCTCAAGGAAAGGACTCTTTTTGCCTTTCTCTCCCACCATGACTGCAGAAGCAGGAACTCATGTAGGCACCAGGAGTTGAGCATCCCACCATCAGGGCCCACTGCTCCCAAGCCTTCCTGGGGCCCTCAGGGGAAAGGGGAGGCCACCCACAAAACAGTGAGGCTCCCCCACCCCCAGAAAGCAGCCTGGGAGCACGGGGCAACGGCGCAAAGACTCACTCAGTCCGAAACTTCTCTGGACACGATCCACCCCAAGGCGACCGCTTTCAAATCTCAACCATTTCATGGTGGGAGAAGCGGTGGCTGGCAATATAGGTTTCCTTGTGAGTAAGCCTCCGGTTGAACCCGGTTGTTGTTGTTGTTTCCTCCACCCTCGCCCCTTGAAGGCTCTCATCTTGCCTCCCCCTGCACCTGCCCCTGAACCCACCTACACTTTAGCCACAATTCCCAGAGATCAATCCTTCTTGCACATGGGGCGGGCACAGGGGATTGTTATTATGTCTTCATATGTAAAACCACAGAATTCAAAGAGGGTGCACTTTCTTTTCCCCCATGACGGTATGAAATTACATTATAGCAAAAAACAACAACCACATGCTTACCTTCAAAGATGAAATCTAAACCTGTGGCACGTTTTCTTTCCTCAGCGTAAGTGAATGTATAAATGGTAATCAAATGGTAAAAAACCCAAGACTGAGGCCTTCTATGGGAGTGAAATTACCTAGTCATGAGTTAACACAGCTTAACAGGTGACTCCTCAGCTTTAATGAGGAACTAGCCTTGAAATACAATTAAAGAAACGTGTGATAACCTAGCTAACAAGGTTCTGGTAGCAGCTATTGTTATGGTCTTGGGTTATGCCTGAACCCACCTACACTTTAGCTACAATTCCCAGAGCTCAATCCCTCTTGCATGGGTGAGCTGCACATGGGGCGGGCACAATCCGCTGCTCGCTGTGATGTTGGCTGTGGGGCGAGCTGCGAGGGGAGCCCAATCCGCCTCATGCTGTGGTGTTGGCGGCGGGGTGGGTGATCCTTGCGCACTGCGTTGCAGCGGCGGGCCGAGCCCCTTGCAGTGTTCCTTTTTGTCACTCCTCTCATGGATGGCACCCGGGGCAGCCTGCACCCCCATCCCTTCGTACGCCCCTGCCCTGAGGGCAAGGAAATGTAAAGACTGTTATTGTTCTTTTGGTGGTGGGTACTTAAGAGGCATTGGGAAAGATGTCTGGAAAAGTCAGCAAATGTTGAACTTCTGTAAGCCTTGTATACCCCTCCACTTTTATGACATGTTAAAGGTAAAGGGACCCCTGACCATTAGGTCCAGACACGGATGACTCTGGGGTTGTGGCGCTCATCTTGCTTTACTGGCTGAGGGAGCCGGGGTACAGCTTCCGGGTCATGTGGCCAGCATGACTAAGCTGCTTTCTGGCAAACCAGCGCAGCGCATGGAAATGCCGTTTACCTTCCCACTGGAGCACTACCTATTTATCTACTTGCACTTTGATGTGCTTTCGAGCTGCTAGGTTGGCAGAAGCAGGGACCAAGCTGTGGGATGTAAACACAGAAGCAGTCAATGACAACATTCCTAGAGTGTACATGTTAGAACATGGGGAGGGATGTCTGTCTAGCAAGCAGGTAAACTTCCTGGGGACGGACTTCCTCCGCATGTGACCAGAGGTGGGTGTGGCCTCACCTGTGCAGGTAATGATAAAAGCACAGGGCAGGCAGCCACTCTCTCTCTCTGCCATCTTCCTTCAATGAGGAAACATCTAAGAAGGCTCCCAGCCAAGAGAGGAGATAAGGACTATCTTCGCATAAGATAGATTCTGAATGTATGTAACCTTTTTAAGCTGTCTGCCTTCTGGGATCATATTGTGAACAGAACGTGAGTAAACTCTTTTATACTTTTATAAAGACTGTGTCATGTCTTGTATTTTAAGAGGGAACAAAGGGGAAATTACCAGAGTAATTATTATAGAGGTTCTAGCGAACCTGTGCAAGCGTTACCGTTGCGAACTTCAAGGGGAATGTCTATAAACTCTGCTGATATTTTGGGAACTTGTTAGCACAAGTTGGATTAGGATATAATCTCACAATATATCCTCTCCTGCACCCCAGAACATTCCCACACAAGCAACAGGAGCTCACCCCATCGCGGAGATTCGAACCGCCAGCCTTCTGATCAGCAAGCCCTAGGCTCTGTGGTTTAACCCACAGTAGCAATGATGTATAAGTGATGCTGGGTGAAATGTATTGTGGGGATTTGGGAAAAGTTTTAAAAGTCAGTGTTGCCCCATGCTCAGGGTTCTTACTCTCGTGGGGACCTGTTGTGCAACAATAAAGATCTTGGTCTACTAACAGCTGTTTTGCTCTGGTTTTCGGCTGGAACTTCCTTCCTTTCTGACCACACATACCCACGGGCTCAGTCCCGATGAGCTGGGCAGTTAAATAGCCTCTCAAGCCAGAATTTTCCTTATCAGAAGGAAATCGGTGTGATTATTGGATAGATTTCTACCCAAAACTTTGCCTTCTCTCTCTTTTTTTACAAGGATAAAGCTGCCTTTACCTTAAAGCACCTAATTGTTTTCCTCCCCTTAGTTGCTAGATTGCTTATCACTCATAGTTAGAAAGAGGCCATGACTAGAACATTGGAAAGTCCACCCAAGGGCAGGGCAGGGGAGCCAACTTGAATAAAATTTTGGCGGGGGCGGGGAAAAGGTAAGCCCCACCCTGCATAATTGATCACATGATGTGGTGCATGCACACCATTTGAATGACACAGCCCATCAACTGTGTGGGGTCGGTGAGGTAAGGCTCATATATTTTATTGGGGGACCTGGGCACCCAGAACTTCGCTCCTATGAGGCAGGGTGAAGTGTCTGCCTCAGGCAGCATGATCCACAGATACAGCAGATCCTGATGTAGATCTTTATTCTTTGTTCTTGATGTCAATCTTCACTCTTCCCTGATCAGGAGGGGTGGCATTTTGTAGTTCACCTCAGGCAGTGCCATAGCTGGGGGAGACTGACTAGCTAGCCAGGTTTTTTGCCCCAGGGGAAACCTCCAAAGGGACGCCATTGAAGCTCCCAACCTGCGGGTGTGTGGGTGTGCAAATGCACATGGGAGTGTGCCAAACTGGGTCTTCGATCTGGGTGAAAGAAAGCCTAGTTTCTTCAACCTCAGGTGCCAAAATGTCTTGAGAAAGATGATACAGAAAGACTCTGTATATTGCAGGGTCTGAAAAACTTACCATCGCTTGAGAGTACTCAATGTGAGGGCTAATTTGATGGACTTTGCTGCCACCTCGTGGACTTTTGATATGCATATAAGAAACGACACTTTGAATTTCCTGGATCCCATCTGCACTGTATGTTTACAATGGCATCTGACCACGTTAAACTGTCATTGGTCCCCACAAAGAATCATGGGAAGTGTCATTTGTTATGGGTGCTGAGAGTTGTTAGGAGACCTCTGTTCCCCTCACAGAGCTATAATTCCCAAAGTTAGCTGGGAAGTGGGATTTATTGTTAAACGACACTGGGAATTGTCATGAGATAATCCCATGCCAACAGGAATTTAAGAAGGTTTGAACAAGTTATGCTGAATGCTGGTTTGAGGGAGAAAGTGAGACAGTATCACAAACTTCCTTGACAAACAAAGCAGGCTGTTAGTAGGTTTAAAGAAAGTATGGGAAACTGACTTGCAAGCAGTGACTGATGAAGAAAGATGCTATAAATGACGGTCCAAAAAAGGAGTTTAAAAAGTATTGGGAAATATTATGTAAATATTAAGTATTATGGAAACGTCTCCTAAGGCATTTCACTGTTGATATAGAACACTGGCTCAATTTTCTCATTTGTCATCTAAAGTTAGTGCAAACTGTTGTTGGGGCTGCAATAGTAAATGTACACACTTCCAGCTTTAGTGGGAATGCACATGTATTAAGCCATTCTGAGCTAATGTTCATACTGGTTAAAACTGCATTGCTCTTGCATCTAAGCTATTTTTATTGTCGTTATTTGTAAGACCAAATTCTAATACTAAATTTAAAGAACTGCTACCTTTCTTATTCATTGTTACAAGACATACAGTAGTTTGTAAGTGGAGAAGTCTGGGAAATCTAGATCTGCCTGCTAGGTTCAGGAATATTTGGACCATTACAATTTCAGAGAAAATTTGTTGGCCTCTGTCTGCCTTGAGAGACAATGGAGTGAACTTCCAGGACACTTTTGCAGGGTAAAGAAAACCACAGACCTTTTTCGCCACCTTGTGGAACTTTATTTTATGTGCATCAGGCAGTAATTTGCAGATACGTTTATTAATAGCTGGTACAAAAATTTGGAATGTAAAACTGTAATGCTCTTGATTCAGGACTGACATTATGTGAATGTGTGTTTTGTTTGTATACAATCTGTGGCACTCCAGTGTTGGAAATAGTTATTTTTGTTTCTTTGCTGTATGATTTCTTAATCCTTAATGAAATGCCAAAAAAAAAAATGCTACGGGTCAGCAGTGCAAGTTCAATGTACCTTGTGTTGCGTTAGGTTCATGTTACGTCTTTTCAGCTTGCAAATGCGGCAAATCCAGAAGTGTATACTTCTGGGTTTCGGCACGCGTGTGTGCGCAGAAACATTCTGCATGCTTTGCACATGCGCAGAAGCTCTCTATTGCACTCCGCGCTTGCGAAGAACGGCACCCCAGAACGGATCGTGTCCACAACTAGAGGTACCACTATATCATGATAAAGTGCTGGTTTATTTGTTATTTTGTTTATTTGTTATATTTATTATAATGTTGGCATGATTCAACTATTTTATAGTTTTCTCTGACTGTGTATTTTGTTTGTATGCTGCATTGAGAGGACACTGACTTGCATGAAAGAAGAAAGAATGTGAGTTTTGTCTCCCAAGCTCAATTCCATACATTCCCACTGGTAACATAAGTGTCCATACATTCCGACTGGTAACATAGCATCTATGCCATGCCGCATTGGGCAGTAATTGATGCAAAAGGGGCCCAAACCAAGTACTGAGTACATGTGCATGTTTCTACTTCTCAGAGGTCCAATATTGCTCTATTTGCAGTCCTTGTTTTGCTGATTTCATTTAATATTTTAATTTTCTGAGATTGTTAATTTGGGGTTTTCATCAGCTGTACACCATAAACATCACAATTATAACAAATAAAGGCCTGACATATCTCGCTTTGCATGTCATGAGTCTATCTCATATATTAGTTTCACCTTTTAAGTTGAATTTCTGAAATAGATGAACTTTCCCACAATATTTTAATTTTCCGAGTTTCACCTATACGTCTCCGCCCAGCGCGCTGAGAAAACAGAGAGAGAAAAGGGCAAGAGCCTCGCGTTTCCGCCACTTTTTGTCGCTTTCAGTCAAGCCACGCCTCTCTCCTCCGGCCGCAACCATCCGAGTTCTACATCCCAACCCCCCAGGTACAATCGCTGCTTTCAATTTTGCAGCCTCCGGCGAAGCAAGGTCCATTTCTTGACTGCGCTGAAGGTGCGCCATGGCGAGGAGCGCGCGGGACTGCCTGCTGGCGTGCCTGGAGAACCTGAACGAGGGCGAGATGAGGAGGTTCAAGGCCAAGCTGAACGGGATCCGCGTGCGCAGGGGCAACTCGAACATCCCCCGAGGGGAGCTGCAGAAGGCGGAGGCGCTGGACCTGACGAACATGCTGTGCAGCTTCTACACCGAGAAGTACGCCGTGCAGCTGACCGCCAAGGCGCTGAAAGCCATCAACTGCAAGGACCGCGCCGAGGAGCTCCTGATCGCCGCCGGGAACAGTAAGGAGCGGCTGGGGGGGGGGGGAGCAGCGGCCAGGGCCGTAGCTAGGGGATCTTGCGCCCCTGGCAGAAGCGTCCCAAACTAGCCACGGAGAAATCAGCGCCTCTTTCCGCCTCTCCTCCGACCCCTCCACCCTGCACCCATTCAATTCCTCAGGCACTTCAGCTTGTAATGAATTCTTTCACAGACAATCCAATATTTAAAATATTATTTCTTAATAAAAGGTTCTTGGGCGCTGCAAAGGACCCTCCAGCGAAGCCAGCAGGTAGAGGCCCTTCCTGCCTGGTGCCCGCTCCCTTTCGACTCCCCTGAGCCCCGGAGAGCCCTCCTTCACCCCCCCCCCAGCCCATTAGGAGCGCGGCCAAAAGACCGCTCCAACTTTCGTTTCATCTGCTTTTGAAAGGGCGTTGCCGGAAGATTCCTCTGAACGGCCAAGGCCACCCTCCCAGTTCGACGGCTCAGTGGCGGGGACCTCTGCTTACGGAGCAAAGAGGCGGTGGGTCTGCCTCCACTCCCCGAGGGCTCTGGGTCAGTCGGGTTCCCAGGGCAGCTGTGGGCCAGCCTCCACCGCCCTTTTTCTCTTTCTTCCTCCAGCGCTGCTGCGGGCGCGACCAGCCGGGAAAGGACGCGCAGCCCAGAGAGGACGCGCAGCCCCCCGAGGATCGCTAGCAGCCCAGAGAGGACGCGCAGCCCCCCGAGGATCGCTCGCAGCCCAGCGAGGACGCGCAGCCCCCCGAGGATCGCTCGCAGCCCAGAGAGGACGCGCAGCCCCCCGAGGATCGCTCGCAGCCCAGAGAGGACGCGCAGCCCCCCGAGGATCGCTAGCAGCCCAGAGAGGACGCGCAGCCCCCCGAGGATCGCTCGCAGCCCAGAGAGGACGCGCAGCCCCCCGAGGATCGCTCGCAGCCCAGAGAGGACGCGCAGCCCCCCGAGGATCGCTCGCAGCCCAGAGAGGACGCGCAGCCCAGCGAGGACGCGCAGCCCCCCGAGGATCGCTCGCAGCCCAGAGAGGACGCGCAGCCCCCCGAGGATCGCTAGCAGCCCAGCGAGGACGCGCAGCCCCCCGAGGATCGCTCGCAGCCCAGAGAGGACGCGCAGCCCCCCGAGGATCGCTCGCAGCCCAGCGAGGACGCGCAGCCCCCCCGAGGATTGCTAGCTGCCCAGGAAGGATTCTCGGAGTTTCTGGGCGATGGGAGCCTCTCGCCGCCTCCGCAGAGCAGGAAACGGTGCTAGGAGTGAATCTGCTCCGCCGGGAGACCGATTGTGCGCCCCCCTGGCCTGCACCTTGGCCGTGACCTCTCTCGCCACCCTCAACCAGCGGCGTATCTCATCTTACGCTGGTGGCGGCGGATGCTAAGGATTGCGAAGGTGGGTCTGGAGGGGAGCGAAACTTTTGCCTTGCCCCGAATTCGGTGGGTTTGCAGCCAGATGATATACGCCGCTGGTTGAAAGAGGCGGTAGAATAAAGCTGGTTGAGTTTCATCAGAGCTTTTGCTACATTTTGGGGAAGGGGGCTCTTAGCAAAATTGGGGAGTAGGTTCTTCCACTGTCTTGCTGCATAACTGCTATTTACGCTTCTCTCTCCATCTCGCTTTGTAACTGAACCAGGAAACCACAAGAAAATGGCAGGAAATTGCCTAAGTCTCACAGTTTCCTAAGTAATTTTTTTAACCTATCACCAAGCAGTTACTGCTAAACAGACCTGCTGCACAATTGTTGTCGCTGTTTTATTATTATTGCAGTAACAACATAAGGCCTCGGGGTCCCTTCCAACTACAGTTCTAGGATTCTAGGATATCTTTTTTTCCCTTTTTAAAAAATTCATCTTTATTGGTTTTTCATAAATTCTCTTTCTCATACATGTCAACATCCACAACAAGCAAATGGAATCTCAAAACATTCAACATGTGTACTTAAACAAAAAGGAGGGAGGAGAGAAAATTGTGTTGTTTGTCTACATATTCTGTTGTTACTCTGTTAGCATTTAGCTTCCCTCCACCCCAAACTTGGATCCTTAGTTTTCTACTTTATATGCATTCCCAATTATATCATCTGTTTACCACTATTTCCACTAGTTATCTTTACAGAATTGGTCTAGTCCAGGCAAAAATTTTAAATCTCCGCAGTGATTTTTAAATATTTTTTGTATTTGTGGGAATGTTCAGGGATGCAGGAGAGGATATATTGACTGATTATATCCTTATCCAACTTGTGCTATCAAGTTCCCAAAATATCAGCAGAGTAAGACATTCCCCTTTATTTAAGTTCGCAACGGTAACGTGTGCTCAGGTTCGCTAGAACCTCTATAATAATTACTCTGGTAATTTCCCCTTTGTTCCCTCTTAAAATACAAGACACGACACAGTCCTTTACAAAAGTATAAAAAGAGTTTACTCACATTCTGTTCACAATCGGATCCCAGAAGGCAGACAGCTTAATAAAGTAATATACATTTAGAATCTATCTTATAAGAAGATAGTCCCTTTTTCCTCTCTTGGCTGGGAGCCAAGAGGGCATCTTTAGCTTAGCAGATGTTACTTCTTCAAAGGAAGAGAAGAGAGAGAGGTGGCTGCCCCTGTCCTGTGCTTTTGTCGTTACCTGCACAGGAGAGGCCACACCCACCTCTAGTCACATGCAGAGGAAGTCTGTCCCAGGAAGTTTACCTGCTGGCTGGACAAACATCCCTCCCCATGTCTAAACATGTACACTCTAGGAATGTTGTAATTGACTGCTCTTGTGTTTCACATCCCACAGTATTTACTCCAATTGTTAAATTTTTGGTACTCTTGGTCGCCTAACTGCCCTGTCAGCTTATCCATCTCTGCCTATTCCATCAACTTCACTTGCCAGTCCCTGCCGGTAGCAAAATGTGCCTGGCGCCTGGGGAAAATCGAACACTGGTTCCCCTAAGTATGCTGATATCACCCCCTTGTTTCTCGGCAATGCTATTTTGACTCCACTTCTGTTGTTACTTGTTAATTTAAAAACGATTTCATTTCAAACACACAATTCATTTATTTTTAAATCGTCCCATTTCCTTTAAATTGTCCCATTTCTCTGCTCATCTTTGCAGAGAAAGATGGTGAAATGTGTGTTGTCACCTGGTACTCAGCAAAAAGGAATGCTCTCCTCCCAATCAGGAAAAAGTGGTGCTAAGTGATCTGCCCTAATTGTGGTCTGTGGTGAGCCTGTGCTAAGCCGCTCTAGTGGAGATCATAGAGTCATAGAATGACAAGGCAGGTGGGAGGGACTGTGTGACTTACCCATGTTTACTAATATGATTTTTGCTGAGGAAGTTAAGTTTTTAACAGAATCCAGACACTTTTAGTGACTTTTGCTGATAATCCAAGCGGTTAAAGCATATAGTGGCAAATTAATTAACTGATCGTTTATTGTCCTTTAACACACATCAGGTAGACTCATTAAGTGAGCCATCTTTGCTGCCCTGATATCTCCAATCTATCTGTTAATCCCTATTGTGAACACCATTCCCTGCTCACACCTCCCAGCTCCTTTCAAAGGAATAAGGAAAGTGCACAAAGGGTGAAATTACCGGTAGGTTTTTGTCATGACAGCAGATGATCTTGTAAATTGCTTTTAAAACTCCCATCAGCCCTAGCCAGCAAGGCCAGTGATCAAGGGTGATGGGAGTTGTAGTGCAGAATAACAATAAATGTTATGAACTAAAATAAAGTTTTGAATACACAGCTTTTGATGCAAATCACTCTGGTACAAGGAACCACCTTTGCCTCTCCTTTTTGTCATTCCATTTTATCAGACAGTTCTTGTCAATATTCCCTAAGATGTGCCAACGCAATGTGAATTTTTATGAAACGGGGGGGAAACCATGCTTCATCAACTCAGGACTTTGTTACATATAAAAAGGATATGGAAAAGGAATGTTTGTCAAGTGATGTTATATGTGCCTTACAGATGGATTTTAGTAAATGTGACCTTCCCAATTCCAAGCCTGCTGTGTCCTCATTTGGTGAGAAGGTTGGGTGGAGTGGGGTTTGGCAACCCAGGAATTTCCTTGGAGATCAGTTCTGAGAAATTCAGGACAGGGGGTTCTCATTGTGCAAGCAACTGCCAGCAAATGCATTCTTGAATTTCCTCAAGTCTATTATTGGGCTGGTCCCAGAGTATGTTCTGAAGGCACACGAGGCTACAAAAATGATACAATTATGCACTATATAAAATAACTAAAATACCTTGCTGAAGCTAAGCAGATCTAAATCTGGTCAGTGCCTGGATAGAACTATAATATAATCTTGGGTTTTATGATAGAAGAAAGGTGGCATATGAATGTAGGAGAATAAACAAAAATAAAAATAACAGTACAATTTCATGCATGTATACTCAAAAGTGAGTCTTGTTATGCCACTAACTTCAACCACTGTCCTAAACACATTTACCAGCAGTTTGAAAGCACGCCAGTGCAAGTAGATAAATAGGTACTGCTGAGGCTGGAAGGTAAACCCCATTTCCATGCGCTCTGGTTTCCATCACGGTGTTCCGTTATGCCAGAAGCGGTTTAGTCATGCTGGCCACTTGACCTGGAAAGCTGAGGGCAGACAAACACTGGCTCCCTCGGCCTGAAAGCGAGATGAGCGCTGCAACCCCATAATCACCTTTGACTGGACCTAACAGTCCAGGGGTCCTTTACCTTTACCTTTTTTACTAGGAATAAAGCCCTGCTTATTTTGGGGACTTATTTCTGAGTAAACCATCACAGAATTGTAGAGTTGGAAGGGGATCATCTACGCCAGGGGTCCTCAAACTTTTTAAAGGGGGCCAGTTCCCTGTCCCTCAGACACTGTTGGGGGCTGGACTATAGTTTGGAAAAAATATGAACGAATTCCTATGCACACGTCACGTATTTTATTTGTGGTGCACAAAAACAGGAAAAACAATACAATATTTAAAATGAAGCACAATTTTAATCAACATAAACTTACAATTATTTCAATGGGAGGTATGGGCCTGCTTTTGGACCACTTCCGGTCAGTGCCATCAGCTAATGGCGGATTCCCTTTGATCAGGAGGGCATCGGCTCCACGGAAATCGGGTCCTTTACGCTGCGGCGAAGCGGGGACCCTTACAAATCGCAGGCAGTGAAGCCTGGGAACATGGGGACTCAGCGGGCACCTTTTTGCGCCCCCCCAGCTTGCGAGGAAGCCTTTTTCAGGGCTTCGGAGAGGAACGGGGGAGAGGCGCGGTGCTGTGAGTCGATTTCTACTTTCGCGGAGCGAAGCCGCATGGCCGTTGCTGGAGAGTTCTATCCTGGAACAATTGGATCTTAAAGAAAGTACCCGTGAGTAGGGGGAATTGGATTTATTGAAGGAAAAAAAGACTTCTTTAATTGGACTTATTGAAGGGGAAAAAAGACTTAATTGGCTACCGCGGCGGGAGGTACAACCAGGAAGTCTGCCTCCCGTTCTGTAAATAGATCAAAGCATAGAGACTTTAGAGCTAAAGCGCTGGAAATAAGTTTGCAAAGGGCTGCTTTCCGACTCGAGAACTTTTCTGAACCCCCCTCCTAGAAGCAGGGAAGGAAGGGGGCTGTTTCGGACTGTTTAAACCTGCATAAAGAGAGGAGAAGTGTAAAATCCACCGTTCAGACCTGGGAACGGTCTGCCAATGAACTAAGACTAGTGCTTTCAAACTCGCGCGTCAGCTGTCAATAGAAGGATTTTTTGACAGTAAGGTGGATACATTGTGGCCAGCTTTGGTGTAAAAGTAACTGGAAGGTAACTAAATTGGAACTGTTTTTATTCCTCGGCTGGAGTTCTTTTTTTTTAAGAGGGAAAGTTACTCTTTTGGACTATTGCAACTGTGTCCACCTAGGGGGACCCTTAGAAATTGCAACAAGGGGAATTTTCCACTGGTAAACAGGAATAGCTTATCTGAGAGTGACCTTGGCTTCTCTGCTGCTCTATTGTTATGGCAGATGGGAAAGAAAAAATAGACGCGTCAGTTCTGAGGTCTGGGAAAGCTTGGGGGCAGCGAAGGCAATCAACTGCTGGCCTTCCTACTGCATCGGGATTGGCATCCACACAATCTAAGCCTAGCGGAATGACAGAAGACGTTTTAGCGAATGCATTGGTTAAGATCAATGAAACTCTATTACAACTCAGTACGAAGGTCGAAGAGACCAATAAGAAGGTCGAAGAGACCAACAAGAAAGTTGACACTGCAAATAAAAAAATTGACTTAAACACAGAAACATTAGATAATTTGGGGGAAAGGGTGAATAGTAATACAGAATCTATTCAGAAATTATTGCAGGAATCGA